GAGAGGAGTTGAGGATGGAAGTGGTTGGAAAACATAGACCTGGAGTCTACGCGTGAACTGAGCCCTGGTGTAGTGATTTGGGAGGGAGGCTTGGTGACTAGTTGAAATCATGAGGTCAGAAGAGATGACACAGGGAGAGCGCAGAATCGAACCCAAAAAGAGCAAAGGGAAGAATCCGAAACAGCATCAGCCTTACATGGTGGGCAGAGGAAGAGTTTCCATCTTGCATCTGTCAACTAGGTTACGAGAACCTCAAGAACAAGAATGGAATCTTCCCCATCTTTCCTCTTTGCCATTGTGTCCGGCAAGGGCACAGTGTGTAATAAATGCAGGTTATGAATGAACTTTACACAGTTTCACATTTCCAACCCCCCCCCCCCCCCTTCCCTTTCCTCCTCACCATTGTGAGGTTTGAGTTTCAGGCAGAGAGAAAAAAAGAGAAATCGATCCCTTGTGGCTCGATCCACTTGAAAGCCGTGCCAAGGTTGATAAGTGTTGTGCTGTCCTGGAAAACTCAAGTCGAACCTGTCAGATGATGCTGTAGATCTGGAGTAGCCCCTCTCTTGCCTTTCGGGAGAATTTCCAGACGGGCGATTTCATTTCAGATTCTGTCGTTCTTATTGGAGTAGATTTAAAAGCCAGTACTCTTAAGATGTCTGTGTTACGTGCACATGAGGTTTGTGCTAGGGAAGTAGCAGAAGCGCTAAAAGACCTCCGCCTCACACTCACGCGCTGTTGGTGGAATGTAAACGGAGATGACTGTTTTGGGACGCCGTGTGCCACTTTATCGAGCTGAATGTACACCTACCCTATGACCCAGAAATTCTACTCCTAGATATATACTCGAGGGAAATTTAAGTAAATGTCCACCAAAGACAAAAAAAAGGTTTGTACAAAGAATGCTCTTTATTCATAATATCCCCGAACTGGACATATACCTCAAGTACCCGTCAAAAGAAGAATGGATAAACAAAATAGGGTGTGTTCAAACAACGCAACGCTACACGACCTGGAAGGGGCTGCTCTTTAAAGCATGCCGTCCTTGAATCTGTTAGGAGGAGGTATTCTTTCCTGGTTAATCTGAGCTGCAGATGGGCCGAGGAGAGTAAGAGCCACACGGCCGGAATCAGAAAGGAAGATGGGGTGCAGAGAGAACCACGGAGAAAATGGGACATTAAAAATGGGCAGTCCAGGGATTCGAATTGTTTTGATTTTTCTTAACTATCAGTCCAGGCTAAGTCAGGCGACAGGAGTCACACTGGTGATTTGACCAGGAAGAAGTTAATATAAAGAATTGCTATCTAGAGACACGGAGAGTTATTAACTGGTAACTGAACAGGCGAAAAAGAACTCCGAGGGATTATGGAAGAGCAGTTGCAGAAAGCAGCTACGATTCCCAGGAGGAAAGGAACTGAGGGAACAGCTGCAATTATTAAAAGTTAAAAGATAAGACGGTATCCAGCCATAAAAATGAATGAATTTGGATGAAATGTGAAAACATTATGCAAGGTGAAAGAAGCCAGACACCCAAGTCCATGCATCATGTGATTCCATTCACACGGAAATCCGAAATGCGAACTCTGTCGAGAGGAAAAGTAGGTTAGGGGTTGCCAGAGGCTGGGAGAGGAGGCAGGATGGGGAGTCTGAGGAGGTGATAGTGAAAGGTGCAGGGTTTCTTTTTTTTAAAGTTGTGGTAAAATATACATACAAGTTAGCATTTTTAACCGTCTTTAAGTGTACAATTTAGTAGCATTAAGTGCACTTGCACTGATGTGCAGCCTTAGCCTCCAGCCATCTCGAGAACGTTTTTCATCTTGCCAAATGGAGACGCTCCCCAATACACAAAAACTCCCTGCCCCCACCCTGCCCCACCCCCAGCCTCCTGGCAACTGCCATTCTACTTCCTGTCTCTGACTCTGCCGACTTGAAGCGCCTCCTGTAAATAGAAACATTCAGTGTTCGTCCTCTCGCGTCTTGCTTTCCCACTCAGCATAATGTCCTCAAGGTTCACCACGTGGCAGCACACGTCAGCATTCCCGTCCTTTTAGGGCTGAAGAACGTTCTGCAGAGCGCGCTGCGCTTGTCCTCTCTCCGTTCCTCTGTCCGCGGGCGGAGCCGCGTCCAGCCGTTGGCTGGTGGGAATAGTGCTGCTGTGAACACGGGTGTGGAAATACCTTTTGAGTCCCTACTTTCAATGTTTTGAGAGACCCCCTATCTTCTGTAGCGGCTGCATTGTTTTATTACATTCCTACTAGCAGTACACCAGGATTCCAGCTTCCCCTCGTCCTCAGGGACATTCATTGTTGGGGTTTCCTTTCGAAGTGATGAAATGTTCTCAAATCGATGGATGGTGATGGCCGCACATATCCGTGAACGTACTAAAAACACTGACATGTACACTGTGAGTGAATTGTATAGCATGTGAATTAGGTCAATAAAGCTGTTTTTTAAAAAAGGGAGAGAGGTAAGAGGAGCTGGGGCCCAGATCTCTGGGGGGGGCGGTGCTGACGTTGGATGGGGTGCCGATGTTGGAGGGGGTGCCATGAGGCTGACTGTGCAGGAGTCGGGAAGCACTGTCCCCCTCGACTCAGCGGCTGCTATCCCAGAGTGAAGAAGCATGGCTGGGGTGGCAGGCAAGGAACCGGAAACAGACAGGAAGGAGCCTTCTGCAGCCTTGCAGTCCCTCTCTCAGGCTCCCAGGGGGGAGCCGCTGGCCGAGTTCCAGCCGCAGCATCCCAAAGCCACCTCCTGGAAGGAGAGAGAAGAGCCTGATGCCTGGCTCACTCAGCTCAGGTTGCTATGGCAAAATACCATAAGTGGGTGGCTTATCAACAACAGAAATTTATTTTTCAGTCCTGGAGGCCAGAAGTCGGAGCTCACGGAACCTGCAGGACCGGGTTCTGGTGAGTGCCTGCTGCTTGGTTTACTGCTGTCTTCTCTGAGTCGTCACAGGGCGGGGAGCCAGCTAGCTCCTGGCCTGTCCCCGAGGACGGCACTAATCCCACTCATGGAGGCTCCACCCTCATGACCTCATTACCTCCCAAAGGTCCCATCTCCTAATACCATTACAAAGGGGTTAGGGTTTTGACAGGAGTTATGGAGGCGGAGGACATAAACCTTTAGTCCTTGGCACTTGCATACCTTGGCGACTGGAAGACTTTGTCCTTCAGTTTGACTAAAACTGGCTTTGTCATCTCAGAGACTGTGTCTGCAAGGGGGTCTTCAAAAAGATACTCACAAATCTGGACATAAGTGAAACTTGTGAAAATCCACTCACAAGTAAACGAGATACAAGTCTTTGGAATAGTAACCCTCCTCTCTCCCTAAGGTGACCACAGTGGAGCCTCAAGACCCAGGGAAAATGCAGGAGGCTAAAATCTAGGCACTCAGCTCTTGACTTCAGCCCCGTGCCTCTGTGCCTCTCACGCAGCTCCCTAGCTTGAAGAGGACTTGCCCATGGCTAACGTTATTGAGACTTTACTGTGTATGTGCCCGCCATCGTCCTATATTCAATCCTTACAACAACCTACGAGGGCGGCAGTATTCTCCCAATCTTACGTAGGAGGAAACTGAGGCGTGGAGGGGTCAAGCACTTCCCCAAGGTTGCGGAGAGGTCACACTCCTGAGTCTGCAGCTGAGACGTACTGTGTCCCGTGACCTGCCCTGTGCTTTCTGTTAGTGTTGGACAGGTGCAGGGTCTGCTTCAGCCAGGTAGCAGCATCAGCAAAGATCAGGATGACCCTTGAAACCCACCTAAGTGCTCAAACCAGAGGTCATGGTGCATGGCTGTGCCTCATGTGGCCACTTGCGAGGGCTACCAGCATTCACCTTGACATTGGCAGTTGTCTGGAGGGCTAGACTGGCATCGTCTCATATAGTATAGGGGGTGCTTGGTGAAGGCCTTAATAAGAATTCTGAAGCTGGAAAGATCTACCACTTGAAGTATTTTCTGATTCTAGTTGCCTCAGGGAGGGCCACCGAGTTGGGATTCTTTGAGGAAGCATATGTAAGTCAAGTTCTTGAGGAAAGACTTGCTCCTTCTGGGCCCAGGGTCAGTCAGGCCTGGACTTGCATGTGCTTAGAGAAACCTGGTGAAGGAGAAAGGGGATGAGTTGCTGGCCCCATGGTGAGGAGACCTACCTGGGGCTCCAGGTAGTGAGAGCCCTGCGGTTGTTTTTGCCGATGGGCTGGCTCACAAGATCATTTCCAGGGGCCACCAAGGGCCCGATCCAGGCTTTGGAGGGGGACCCCCATGGGCAGGGCTGTTTCCTCTCTAGGACCAGAGGGTGGGAGGTGGGTATGTCACTAGGAGGTCACCAGCAGGGGGCAGCTGACCTCACTGAGTGCTGGTCTCAAAGGGGCTGCTAGAGCAGAGGTCGTGGCAGATGAGAGAATCAGAATATGAAGCCCCAGAGAAGTTGCAGGGCACCCAGGGCACCATAAACCCTCCCTGAGGATCTCTCAAAGCAGCAGGTGTGGGTCAGGGAGAGAACGTCACCCTGAAGGGGGTTAATTTCCCGCTCTCAGGCACTTGTGCTACAATCATCTGGGTATAAAGAGGAAAAACATCGTTAGCCAAAGTCATGGCCTGGCAAGGCCTGTGAGGATGGGTTAAAACTGAAATGCAAAATAGATAAACACATTGATCTAAGTGGGTCTTAGACCATGTTGTTGGCTTTAGTGAATGGACTCAGAGCTCTGATGCGTCTGGCTCTGTGATTTCAGAAGTACCCAAGGAGCTTCGGCCCTTTCTGATTTTAACAGTCTTCAGTTTTTAAAATGGTAGCAGCAGACTGGAAATGTCCAGAGTAGAGTCTGTTTTCTTTCTTTCTTCGCATCACCATGACTGATCTCAGTCAGAATGGATGCGGGCCGTGGCTGCCATATCGGGCAGCACAGACACAGAGCATTTCTGTCATCACAGGTGGTTCCATGGGCCTGCACTGCCCTAGAGAACCCTAGAAAGTGGTTAGCCAAATATAAGACTCACACTCAACAGGTATCACGTGGGTTGTTTTAAAATTAAATACCACTTCATAATTTTATTTGCACCTAGCACGCACATTTTTTTTTTGAAAAATAAGACATGCCAATAAGACAATAAGTCAAGAAGTTAACAAAATATAAGCATCCACATAGAATGTGTTCGAAGGTGACTTCATTTACACGGCTTCTCAAAGAAACACACAATAAATTCTTTTTGCTTATCAGCCAGTGTTGGACTAGATTTAGAATTCACAAGGCTGCAGGGTGGAGGCTCCCCAGCACTGCCGTGACGGACACCTTGTATCCACACACCACATCAAGCCGGCTGGTTCCCATCAGAAAAGTAAAGGGATGTCAGTCCCCGCTCCCCTACCCAGCATCCAACGCCCCCACATGACCTGAAGCTTAATGGGATGGTGTCACCAGACCCGGAGCTTCATGGGAGGGGTCAGAAGTGGGGGCGCTGAGCTCTCGTCAAAACCCGCAGGAACCCATCTGCGAAGAGCTGGTTCTGATCTCTGATCAGGGAATCCAGAATCCCGGCCTCTAAACAAGTGGGTCAGAAGGGTACAGAGAGGAAGACCACAGAACAATGGAAAAATTTAAACCCAAGTTTAACTTCGTGGCTGCGAGGAGATAGATGAGAGGCGTGATATTTAACGTTGCTTGGAACATTCAAAAGGGCTGGGGAATGTCGGAGCCATGAGAGGACATAAGGATTCAGGGATGTGAGTGGAAAGTTGATGTCATCGTCCCCCGAACAGCAATGAAACGGTTTTATTTCTTCTTTTGTGTTCTGTCCTGCAGGACTGCTGCTTGACCTTGAAAAGGGCATTTATTGTCCCTTCAGACCCTTCTCCCACATTGCATAAGGCCTCCTTTCCCATCAGTGTTGACCCTGCTGTTTCCTTCCTCACGAACCATCAATGACTCCCGTGCCTTCTAGGGTCATTTTAAACTCACCAGACATTCAAGGCCCTCTGAGATGTGGCTTCCTATGCTTCTTTTTCCGGGCTCATCTCCCACCCCCTCCCTGGCTCGCCCTTCCTGTGATTTCCCTCTGTGCCTTTGCAAATGCTGGCTCCTCCACCTGGGGGTGGGGGGTGTAGGGGTGACCATGCCACCTTCTATGCTTTGTCCAAACTTTGCTGGGTTTGCCGCTCATCAATGAATGGGACCAAAAGCACCTCCATTTTGGATCACTCGTTCTGAGCTCAGGGCCTGACCTTTAGCAGGGCCTCCGAAACTCATTTTCTGTGGTCCACTATTGCACTTGGCCTGGCCTGCTGGTTTCGCTGCCGGTTCCCTTCCTGGGTATTTGTGTCTCCCCCAGTTGCTGGCCTGGAGGGCAGGAACCATTCTTACTTTTTGCTCTCACCATCCAGATGCTTAACAAACAGTGAACGAATGCCTCATAAATACTGTTGCATGGAGCTGATACCTATCCTCAAGGGAACAAGGCCCTTCATCGCCTACTGCTCTCCTAGGCATGTAAGACCCAGCGCAGAAGTGGCTGAGATGCAATACCGAAGTGGTTACCACAGGCAACAGTCAGTTTCTGAAGTCAAGGTACTAAATCAGTATTAAGCACAATCCATAAAGGTTAATGAGCTATCAACACTGGTCTTTTAACACTGTTATCTTGCCCGGTGGTTAAAGGCGGCCGAGGGAAGCAGTAAGTATAGCTCTAAGTGGTAATCAATGAACGGAGACACGCCTCTGGTCCTTTGGGGACTGCATGACCTGCCGGATGAACCCCAGGAAGGAGACAAGGAATGGTAACTCCAACCTTCCAGTAGGAGTGCGTCGGCCCTGGGCATTTTAAAGCAGATCATCCCAAACATCAGGCTTTCAAGGTGTGTGATCCTTGGGTTACCTGCATCAGAACCACCTGTGCTGTTAGTTAAGCATGCAGACTCTTGGACCCTACCCCAGTCCCACTGGGAGTATCTGTGGTTGGGGTGTAGGATTCTGCATTTTAAGGAAACTCCCTAGGGGATCCTGAGGCTCATGAAGGTTTGCAAACCTTTACCCGCCATTCTCGAAAACTCACAGTCGGTCTAGGGGAAGAGGGTTTACAGCCAGAAAGAAGGCTGTAGCTCCACTTCAGAGATCGCGTGCATCTCCCAGACATATATCCCCATGGGGATGGGGACCCAAACCGTCTCTGCCGACTCCAGAGAAATTAAGCAGTAACTCCAGCTTGGTTCGCTGACCTACAGGCGAGGTGAGGAGGCTGGAGGGAGGTGAGCAACGCCGTTTCTGAAACGAGCTCCCTCAACCTTCCCAGAGGGCACTGGTGTGCAGGAAGATCCATGTAAAACAGCCAGAACTCCCAGCTATTCTTTTTAAGTGATGTGATCCCATTCTGCAGGATGGAAAGGGATTCTTCCTCCCTTGCGGGCTGAAGTGTCATCTCTCTGCCCCTGTCCTATTCTCGTTCTTCTCTGAACTTCCCAGTTCCTTTGGGGGCAGGGAGGGAAAGCAAGCAAACAGTTCACAGAACCAAAACGAAATTACTTTTCAGAGCAGATCCACGATAAACACATCAAGCACATTTTCACTGGGGAGGGCAGACGCCGGGAAGGCAGAAGTGCATTTCCTACCGGCGAATGACAGGATGTCCTGCCCACGGCTGGCCCACTGGGCCGTGCGAAGGCGACACAAATGTTATCACAAATACGGAAGCACGAGTGAGCGGGCAGAGGGCAGGCCTGTGCTCGAGGTGGGGAAAGATTAGATAGATTTAGAGGTCTGCAGCCTTTCCCTGGACTTGGAGAGGAAGCACAGGCTCCCTGCCTCGCTTTAGCTCTGGAGCACGTGGCAGCCTTTGGTCCGAGACTGGGGAAGCGCAGTCACCGACCTCGAGGACCATGAAGGCTTCCCAAGTCCGGCTTGGCTCACCAGGCAGCAGCTGAACACCACACCACCCACCTGGAATCCTGCTTCCGTCCTCCCCCCTCCCCCCCAACCTTTGAAATTTCCAAGACCAAGGTAACATCCTCTGCCAGAGACAAAGCCTCCTCAAGATCCCCATCCGCACAGTTCCCGGTTTACAAAGATTAGACTCGAAAGGCAAGTTTTAGAACTGGGAGCCAGACCACCGACAGCACGGCGTGAGCAGCTGTAAGTGGAGGGGAGGTAGGTCCCCTTCGAGGCAGGCTCACTCCTTCTTGGTGTGCTCCAGGACTCGGTAGGGAACGCCGGAGGCGCCCCTGGAGCCGTGTTCTTCTTGCATGACGGGCAGGGTGGCGGGAGCATAGATCTCGGAGATGTTGTCGTTGTTTTCCAGCGCCCCGTAGGAGAAAGAAGCTTTGAGGTCGGGCTGGACGGCCATCCCCTTGTCATGCATGTTCTGCAGACCTGAAATGAAAGCCATTGCCCCCGAATCATTATGCGGCGAGCAGGCGAGGGAGGCTACACCTCTCTCTGTCCCGCCACAGACTAATTACAGGGCTCAAGAGCTAATCATGTGCATTGTCCATTTCCTGAATGCTTTAGATTGAAGAAAGAACACCCATAAATATACACTGGAAACATTATGGTTGCTAAGCAAGAAGGGACGCATCTTCAGGAAATATGCACATAGACCAGCCCTCTATCGCGAGGAGCCACGGGTTGACCTAGAACTTGACAGCGGGAGTGCCTGTCTGGGCCACCAGGGGCATCGGGGGTGGGGGGACCAACACTGTGCTTTGAACATGGTAGATGCCATCACTTTTCTGAGTTAAATCAGGATCCAGACAATGTCATCATATTGTTGACAGAAGAGGGGAACTTCTGTGCTATGGACACGTCACGGTGACAGATGCATCTCAAAGCTCAGAGGGAGAGCCTGACTGTAACATCGACACCCCCGAGCCATCCACAGGGTGAGGTGTCATTTCAAGTATTACTCTGGGCGCAATGATGTTGGATTCCCACTTACATTTGAGGGCAAAGACTTCCGTCGCTGATCCCTTTAACCTTACTCTGCAGCGCCCCTAGTCGGGTGGGGGCCTGATGCTTTCCGAGGCCAAGTCTGACCCTGTGGGGAATCAAGACCCTTGGAACCCACCTGCCCCCGGGCTGCATCATGAGAAACTCAATGTGGAGTGTTTTCTGTGAGAGCAGGATGATGGCAAACACAGAAAAACAGAGGACATCGGGCTGCTTAACGTGCCTCAGGCGCCGGGCTGAGTGCTCCAAGGAGTAATAACAGTGACAGAAACAATGACAATAGATAATGTGTGCTGAATGTTCACTTGGTGGCAGATGCAGTCACAAAATTTGATTTCATTCTATCCTTACAGCTACCAATGAGGAAGATGAGGCAGCTGGAGGTCAGGAAGGGATTATTACATGGCGGTGCCAGGGTGCATACTCGGGTGGTTTAAACTCTGAAATCCACACTTGTACTTATGTTTAGAGAGAAGGGAAGGGATAAAGAGAGGGAGAGAAACATCGATGTGTATGGTTGCCTCTTCCACGCCCCCAACCGGGGGGCGGGGGGACCTGGCCCACAACCCAGGCACGTGCCCCGACTGGGAATCAGACTAGCGACCCTTTGGTTCACAGGCCGGCACTCCATCCACTGAGCCATGCCAGACGGGGCTGAAGCCCACACTCTTGACTGGAATGCTGTGTGACCACCCTGTACACCTGCACTTAATCTCCAAAAATGCTATGACAGAGATATGCTACTATCCTCATTTGCTGAACAAGAAAACAGATTCAGAGAGGTGAAGTAACTTGCCCAAGGTCACACAGCAATGAGAGACAGAGCTGGGATCCGGCGCCGAGGCCTGTGGTCTTACTCACTCTGCAAACGGGCTGGGCAGGCCTGGTTTGTGGGAGACGCTTTGCTACCTACCACATTGCACAAGCCTGAGCTGACGGTCATCTGAAGGATGCAGTTTAAGTGGCTGTGGTTTGAATCTGGGGAAGACGAGGAGAGGCCTGCTCCTTAGGGAAGAGAGTTGCCTTACTAGGTGTAGCTGAGCTTTTGGATTTTGCCAACGTTCTCCAGCCACAAATCACCAGGAGCCCACCTATCGTCTGACAATCCTGGCTTCACCGGCTCCCTGCAGGGAGGGAGACGGACGCCATGGGGAACCGTGGGCTGCTTCAGCAAGAAGGTAGTAGGGAGGACTTACTACTTGGGTTTGTGTTAGGTGATTTTGGGCAGGGTTTAAGGAAGCAGGGATGATTCTATAATTGAAGCTCTTAATAATTCTTATCTAGAAGGAGAGAAGACCAGATTGAGGCTGATGCTGCGATTGGTTAAGAGCAGCGGTCACTCATGTTAGGGGGACGGTTGGTCCTCTCTGTGGCTGGACAATGTTCACGTGTGGTCTGTGTTCAGACGTGGTTCGGGAGCGGTCCCTGTGTGTGTCTTGATCCTTCGCCGTCACAGAGCGGCCTTGCCCGATGTGCTGAGGCTGTGTGTGTGCAGCTGGGGGACGGCAAGGCCCAGCTCCTACCCACCAGGCCCTGCTTTCCTCTTTCTCCTTCTTGAGAAGTCTTCCAGGTGCTAGGATTACGTCCAGCCCCTCCAAATTCTGACAGGGGGTGAGTTTGGGGGCTTCAAATGCCTCTTGGACAGCAGGCACTGGTCTGTTGTAAAGAGACCGGTCTAGGGAGGCCACGAGCAAGGCCCCGACGCTGGTCAGGGAAACCAAGTGGCTAGGAAAGCCACTCTGTGTGTGGACTTGTGCGCTCCAAGTTCTACCTGGCCTCAGGCCACACCAGTGTCTGAAATGTTCTAAAGCAAAAGGGCAGTGAAACCAAATTTAACCAGGCATCTTCCATGTCCCAGGCACTGTGCAAGGGGCCTATCACGTGTCGCGCCGCCATCCCGAAAGGAGGCCCGAGGTTGCAGAGCGGGCGGGGGCAGAGCTGGGGTTGGACTCCAGGCCGCCTGGACTCGAAGCCCACGCTCTTCACGGCACGGGACACGTCTGCCCAGGAGCGTGTGACAGGCCACAGCAACAGGGCAGAGTCTCCCTCCTTCGACACCTGCTTCCCACGGGTCACAAGGTACAAGGAGGAAGCATGGGCCACATCCACAAACAGGCTATACAGCGTCGGTCTTTGGGACGACCTTGGGTCGCCTTCTGCGTCCTACCAGGAAATCCGTCTGTATATGTGCATATACAAACACTTCCACAGATGTACACACGTACACAGTTCATCAACACACGGACACACGGACACATACACATACTTGCACACACACGGAGTTGACACCTCACCTATCTGGAACTCAGCTATCCAGCGCCCTCATCTATCCGGAACACAGCCGAGAACAAGGAAGTAAGCAAAAAAGGCATCTGAGCTGCCAGGTTAGACGTTTACAAAGTCCATGCACTAAAGCCCATGCACTTCACTCCTAGGAGAAACCTGAAGGCCCCATCTCAGAGCGTATTTAATTTAATTTTATGCACAATTCGAACAAGTGGGGTCCATGGACAAGACGGACACGGAGTCGCTCTGCTGGTAACAGCAGGAGTGGCAGGCCGGTAGCGGCAAGAAGGACAGACCACGGCTTAACAGCAAGGGAGGAAGAAATGAAATGGAAAGTAGATACACAAACCCTGGGGGCATTTGCGGCAGGGGCACCTCAGTCGGCCCTGAGGACACACCTACGCCGCAGCGTTCCGGACACAGCAGCACTCTGTGCCACCACGGTGACTATACTTGGCTCATCAGACCGTCTTAATGAAGCGCGGGAAAGAGTTCTATCAAATCTATCGAAAATAACAAGTGTGAGTTAAATGGTGAAAGCTAGTGGTCCCTGGCAACTCAAAAAATTTAGGTCAGCAGACCTGGAGGGGGCTGGCCCAGCGCCCTAACTTTTCTGATCTGGATGCCATTGGGCTGGGCGGGTCCTCCCCGGTCCTCCACTGGCCACCCCGCCCCCATTTCGGTGGGCGTGGGCTTCGGCCTCGGCTTCCCTGACTGCACATTCCTGTTCCTGTTCGGCCTTAAGGGCATTCGAGCTTGTGCCTCTCAGCATGAACTCTTCTTAGGTCCTAGGAAATTCAGCTTTCCAGAACAATCCACTCCTTTGTGGTGCAAGGAGTGAGGTTATAGTATTTGAATTTCCTTCATCCTACTTTCCTTCCCCTCTCTGATCAATCCATTCCAGCGAGATAAACGGGTTTTTCCTTTTGCAGGTGTGAAGCCTGGTGCTTCAGATCGTAATTAGTGATATCCACTGGGAATCAGGATGGTCTTTAAAAGATCCCCAAATAGACACGGGAACTGACAAGATGTGCTCAGAACCGACTGAGGCTTCTCAGCCGTTACCTCCTTTTTGGCACGCTGAGATGAAAAAAATAAAGAACAGAGAGACAGTCACACCAAAACGGCACAGCACGCCCTCCCCGTACCACGCCCGGCGGCCGGCTGTCTCTTTTCAAAGGGGAAGCAGCAGTCATCCTACAGTGACGAGCCGGCCAGCTGGAGACGGGAGGTTTTAACATTACCTGGCATGGCGTCCATGGAAATATAGGGCTCAAATGGAACGGCCTTCTTCCTGTTCCGCGTGATTAAGAAGACGCCGAAGAATGCGATGAGGCACCTGAGGGACAGAGAGATAAGGGCGGCAGAGAAGTCAGGCCATGGTGAGGGTGGGAGGGCGCTTCCAGACCCAGGGAATGGAAAAAAGGTGGGAAGGAGGCGGCAGCTGCGGAGGGGGGTGCTGGCTGCCCAGCGGGAAGCAGACGTGAGATGAATGATAACATCCCCACTCCGCACAAGACTTCATCAGAATGAATTAGACTCTCCCAGGTAGAACTCTGAGCGGTTCTTCACTCCTCGTTAGCCTGCATCTCAGAGCCCTGACTTGGAAAAGGTTTGTTTTAACAAGCAGTTCTTTAGGGCCCACGCTTACTCAATGCAGGAGCGGAGAGAGTGAAAACGCAAATCCCCGCACTCCCCCACCGCACTCCCCGGGGAGGCATATGTTTCTCCAAAGTCTTTTTTGTTTTTTTTTTTCCATTTCTCTAGAGCTTCAACAAGCGCACTTCCTAAAAACTGAGGTGTAATATTCGTGCAGTAAAATGAGCAAACCCTAATTACAGTGTCATGAGTTTTACCTGTGTACACACACATGTGATCGCTGCCAGGTCAACGGAGAAGACACTGCCATCCCCTCCACTCCCGACAGTGTCTGTGGGCCCCGTCCCAATTCATGCCACCGTCCCCCAGAGGAAGCCCCCGTTGTGACTGTTCTCGCCACGGACTCAAGGTGCCAGGTTCTGAGCTTCTCCGAAGCTACCTCGCCGCGTGGATGGGTCTTTCATGGCTAGTTCCTTTCACCCAGCAATTGGTTTTAAGACTCATCTACTTTATTGTGCGTTTTAGTTCATTCGTTTTAATTGTTGTGGGGAATCCATGGTCTGAACAGACCACAATTTGTTTTTCACTCTCCTGTTGGTAGACAATTTGGGTTGTACCCCATTTGGGCACGTTATGAATAAAGCTACTATAAATATCCATGTATAGGTCATTTGGTCAATATAGGTACTCATTTCTCTTGGGAATATATCTATCTAGAGGTGGAATTGTGGGATCTTAGAATAGACTACACATAAACAGAAAGAGTAACTTTTTCCACCTAATGTATCCATGCCAACAGACTGGCCTCAATTTTTCAAAAAATTGCTACTTTAGGCAATTGGTGCAATAGGCACCATGCTACTTTATTGTATAAATATATTATAATTTAACCTGTTCCTACTGCTGGGCATTTAAGTGGCTTCCAATTATTTGCTTACACAATTAATTTGAAAATTAATTAAGTAGCCTCATACGTGTGTTTTTGTGTCCCATTTCAATTATTCCCCCGAGATAAATGATTAGAAATGAAATGCTACCTCAAAAGTATGCTCATTTACAATTTTTATTGATATGGCCAAACTGTCCTCTTCCACATTAAAGAACTTCTCACGGTCTCCTCATCCTCTTGCCAACATGGAATATTATCAGTCCTATTAGTTTTTGTAAAACGAAGGCACCTCATGGAGCTTCAACATGCATTTCTTTGATCTGAGGTCAAAGAGCGAGGCCTTTCATGTATTAAAGTAGGATTTTTAGAAAAAAACGAGGAGATTAAAGACCGAAAGGGAGGAAAGGGGAAGGAAACAAAGCCCGCGGGAGAGTAAAGCTGTCCCCTCTGGGGACAAAGCTCCAGCCCCCCTACCTCCCCTGGCTCTCAAGTGCTGCCTGCGGGGGCTGAGGCAGGGACCGGGAGAGGGGCCGCCCACACGGGGGCGCAGTGCACGCGAGGGCGGGGCCGGGGCGGGGGGGGGGGGGCGCGGCGGACTCACCCCAGCGCAAACATGCAGATGTGCAGCGCGTCCTCGCCGAGGAAGTCCAGGTAGAACACCGCTCCTGCAGCGAACGAGGGGAGAGAGCTGTTTTCGGGCCGACCGCCTGCCCTCGTGCCCCTGTGTCTGGGGCCCAGCTGAGCTCTCTTCCCCGCAGGGAATCAAAGCAATCAACATCTACTACGACTGCACTTAGCGAAGTACCAGGAGAAGGGAATAAAAGCCATTTAAGGGAAGAGATTGTCTTCTCTCTCCCACGCCTAGGCCCCTCTTATCTTCATCTATTTTTAACTTTTTATTTCGAGATAATACTCCGCTCGCAAAAATGGTGCGCTCTCTCTGGGGCCTGCCCGCAACCTCCCTCTCAGGGGCATGCATCTTCTTCACTTTTCTCTCTCAAACTCTGAGCACAGGTGGTGACCACAAGGACCTCGGGCTGAATCCCCCCTCCACCTTGTTTCTACCCGGCGGCAGTGCCGAGCTCTCCCTTAACTGTTCAGGAGTAGTTACGTTGACGCAGTCCTGAAATTACATTCGCCCCTTTGAAGGCAACCGCGAGGCTGATAGAGCCCCCGGTGAAAATGAGTTTGAAAAGGGCCCCACGAGACTTGCAAACGAGGGGAGCCACGGGCAGCAGCAGCCTGTCCCTGACTAGCCCCTGAACTGTCCCAGTGGCCCCTTTCCTCTGACTTTGCAGGGAGCCGGCAGCAGCCCCGCCCCCGCTCACTTCTTTCCTGCAACATTTCTAGGGAGCCCAAGCAGCCCGTAGCTTTGAAGATTTTAGTCATTGCGGCCACGTAAAAACAAACAAACTCTGACGTGCTTGTAGCCTCTAAAGCCCCCTCAGAAAGAAAATTTAAAACAATTAGGGGTGGGGGTAGAAGAAAAGGGCAGTGTCAAAATAATAGTGATCACAGACTGAGCCCCTATTGTGTTGCAGATGCTTCAGGTACTGATGATCTCTGGGATTTCTGTGGGAGGAGCCTGCGGGCACTTGTCCCGAGAAGGCTGGCAGCTAGCAGAGGACAGCAGAAACGGTTAAAGAAACCTTGCATAAGCACCAAAAAGTCAGGGAAATTCAGTTTGTACATATTTCAATCTCAGGAGGTAAGTGTTATCACTTCTATGTTACGAATGCAGAACTCAGGCACAGATGGGTGAAGTGGTTTTCCCAGAGCCACAAGGTCCTGCGTCTCCCTGGCTCTAAACCCTGCGCTCTCTCCAGGGGCAGAATGAGTCGGAGCAACTGGCCAAGGCAGAGCCTCCTCCCTCCACACGGGGGTGCTGCCCCTGCTGCTCAGGGGGAGGACGGAAACCTGGCGATCAGCCACCCTTACCTGCGGTGATGGCGACGGTGGTGGACAGAATGTAGCCCACGCTGGCAATCAGAGAGGAGTCGTACATCTGTGAGGCTTGAGTTAAGAACCTGCAATGCAAAAGCACTCTGGTCAGCAGGCCGAGGGGGTGCTGGAAAGGCCAAGGAGGAAGCTGCGGACAGCAGCCTTGGTTTGAGATGTGAAGATGACCCACGACAGAACGTTCCTCGGGTTCACGAAGGTGCCATCCTTGTGCGTCTCTAGGTCTGAGGTCCATGCTTTGCTCCTGTTCTTCCCCAGGGTCATAAGCTGAGGCCCATGCCCATTCACCAAGTGGGCCGTGCCTTCCTGGTCTGACACCTTTGACCACGTGGTTCTCGTAACTGGAAATGTCCTTTCCCTCACCGTGGTGTCCCCTGGGTCCCCTCCACTAAAAAGAGCCATTCCAGGTGGCTTAAACACTCCAAGAAACTGTAATTTCACTTGTAACATTCTGTCTTGTTAACAACTTTTTAAGCCAAATTTTCTTCTTCATTCAAAACCATTGTGATCACTGTAATATACAGGGGTAGGCAAAAGTAGCTTTACAGTTGTTCCTGTGGGAAAAGGCATGCAGGTTATGATGATAATAACACAAGAATAAACTGTTCCGTATACTCACAACTGTAAACCTACTCTTGTCTGTCCCTGTACATAGGAAAAAGAAAGGGAAAGTTGGAACTATTTCTAATCTCTCCCTCTAGGATAAATACTGCCATTGTTTCAGAACATATCTTTGCCCTTTCTCTGTGTAGTATTTTAGTTACTATAGTTGCTTACCCTGTAACCGTGTTCCCCAGGCTGCTCCCAGCAGGGCTATGAGAGCCTTGAGGACAGTCTGTGTGTGTGGAAGGCCCAGCACAGGCCTGGCACATAGTAGGCCCTCAGTGAATGTGTACTGAGTAGGTGACAGAGAAGCACTCAGGAGGTGGGCGGGGCATCTGGTTCATCCTTGTAACCCCTGCAGTGCTGGGCACTGGGTCTCCGCTTGGCAGGGGCTCGGTGGCGATGCTTAGAATTGATGCAGTGTGGCTGCGAACAGCCATAATCGACAGAGTAATAGTAACAATGGTCGTAAAAGAAGCTGCTGTCTACAGGGCTTTATGTGGTTCCCTCAGGTAGGGGCTGTTATTCGCATTTGCAGACAAAGAATCTGCGTCTTAGAGAAGCTGAGGGGAGGTGGCCGCGCAGAGGGGTGAGGGCCGTGGGCTGGGAGCAGGATGTCAAATCTCAGCTGCACCACTTCCTGGCCTTTTAACCTCACTTTGCTGTGTGGTCCCTCATGTGCAAGACGAGGGCTGTACCATCCACACGAATGGGGTGCTGTGGGGATGCAACGAATTCAAATTCACGTGGAGTCACTGAGAGTAAAGCCGGCCCACGCTGGGCATCAGTCACTCCCACGATCCCTTGAGGCCACGCTGGTGGACAGTGAGCCCAGGCCTGCCCAGGCGAATCAGCCTCACGCATCACCCTGAAACCTGTGCAGTCCACCCTCCTGTCCCCACACGGGGTGTCCCATTCCCTTCCAGGACCACAGCTGGGCACCGAGTCTCAAATGTGAACAAGGCCCCCTCAGTACGGCTGCTTCTGACTTAACTCTCGTGCCCAGAGAGAAGCGATCACCTTGCTCTTCCACTTGGGATGATGTGGGGGAGATTCCTTGAGGACAAGAAATGACCACCTTTAGTTTTTCACCTCGCCGACCAGCCGGTGCCTTGTGGGGCCGGAGCAGCCCCGGCGTTGGAAACGCGTGCCCGCCAGGGGCAGGCGGGAGGCGAGGCTGCCTCTGACCGCCTCTCACGTTCTGAGGCCGAGCGTCAAACACCCCCACTCCAGGCTCGTCTTTCCAGCAACGGAGCTCCTGCACGTGACAGCTCAGCAAACTGGCCGCTCCGCTCTCTCCACGGCAGGCGCCAGAGCCCAGCGGCAGGCTGCCTCTGAACGCTCTGCCTCTCCTGCAGCTTCAACAGCAACAATGGGGCCCGGAAAACGGAGGAGCCCAGCCCATGTGCCGAGGCCCAGCAGGAGAGAACTCGCTACTCACGTGGCTTGGTAGACGGCGGTTGCCACCATGCACACGAGCATCACGTAGAAGATGGGGTAGTTGAGCTGCAGGTTCCCCTGGATGGACAAGACGAGCATCCCGGCCACGGCCTTCACTGTCACCACCGTCATCGAGCCTGCAAAGAGGGCGAACGGGCATGTGGGGACCTCGGGAACACGGAGGGAGCCGGGCCCTGAAGGTCAGTTTATCGCCACAAAGGGCTTGGTGAGGAGAATGGAGGGAGCCCCGGTGCAGCTGGCGCAGTGATTCACGTGGGGAGAAGTCGCTCTCTGTCCGGGGATCTTGGACGCCCCACTGTCCGTGCCCCTGGACCGGAGAAGCAAGGCGGGCAGAGCCCTGACAGGTGTTTCCGAATGTCGCTTCTACACTCTACCAGGAAAAAGCAATGAGTCCAGGTCTCCGGACCCTGGAGTGGGTTCGTTTCATCCCCACAACTCGTGTAGGTGCCCGGGACCCGGGGGGAGCCATGCAGTCTCTGAAGGGACAAACAGGATTATTGAGTATCCTCCTCGTGGCAACCACAGGGAAAACACATATTGTGTAAAGTGCTCTAAAAAAATCTCACTCAATTGTATTTTTAAAAATCACTTCTTTGGACAGAGGTCCCAAAACGTGGTCTCCCGCTGAAGAGCAAGGCCAGAAGGTTCCGAGGCACGTTGGCCACTCCTTCTGTCCCCGTCTCACTTACGTGGGCAGCCTGATGGAGCTGCTTAGCTCACCGGGCTGTGTTTGACATGTTTTAGAACCCTACTCCTTAATGGATGGGCACATGCTTTTCCAAAACATACATGTTCATGCATTCGAAAGTTATGGTCATGCGACACTGTGCTTACATGTGTGCACAATGACGGGACGTGTGCAGGAAACACCGTTTAAAAGGTGGAGATAACAACAAATTCCAACGTGGTCTTCTCACACACCTGGCGGTGGTCCTCCTCACTCAACATGAAGACCACCGCTGGGGCAGAAATGACTCCTGACTCTGAACTGCCAGACCCCCTGCTGAAGCAAGAGTTAAAAGAAACCACCCCCAATGGTGGTACAAACGGAGCCCCTCATTCTGGCTGAAATGCTCTGCTTCCCGTTTCTCTCAGCTTCGGCTGCGGCCACTGCCCGTCTCACACAGCGGCTCCCAGGCCCCCGCGGCTCCGAGGCTGGTTTTCGAACAGCAGCAGCCCGGTGAGCTAAGCCGCTCCATCAGGCTGCCCACGTGAGTGAGAAGGGGACAGGAGGAGTGGCCAGCGTGCCTCGGAACCTTCTGGCCTTGCTCTTCAGTAAGGGAACACGTTTTGGGACCGTGATCTTCCGACCCAGTTTTAAAACATCACCAAGGGATGAACCCCTGAAACACTATGCTCGGTGAAAGAAGCCAGTCACGAAAAGCCACGTGATGCATGATTCTATGCATAGGATGCGTCCAGGAAGGCAGGTCTATAGAGACAGAAGGCAGATCAGTGGTTGCCAGGGGCTGGGAGGAGGGGGAAGTGGGGAGTGACTGCTCATGGGCATAGGGTTTTCTGGGTGACAAAAATGTTCTGAACTTGAACCATGACAGTTGTATAACTCTGCGAATACACTAAAATCCACTGAATTGTGTACTTCGAACAGATGAACTTCATGGTATGTGAATTATGTCTCAATAAAGCTGTTTTTAGCCCTGGCTGGTGTGGCTCAGTAGATCGAGTGCTGGGCCTGTGAATCAACAGGTCGCTGGTTTGATTCCCAGTCAGGACACATCCTGGGTTATGGGCCAGATCTCCAGTAGGGGGCACACAAGCAACCGCACATTGAAGCTTCTCTCCCTCTCTCTCTTCTTCCCTTCCCCTCTGCCTAAAAATAAATAAATAAGGTCTTATTTGAAGAAAATAAACCTTTAAAAATAAAGTTGTTTGAAGAAAAATCAAAATAATCCACCCTGTCTTAGGGTGACACCTCTCTGTGTGGCTGATGGCATGTCGCTGGAGTGGGGGCTTGCTATGGGAAGGACAGAAGAGAAGCAACACGTGTGGGGCCTTTGTGCTCATCCCGCTGAATTCCCCTCTCCCCCGGGGCCCGGGTGTTCTCCTAGGCCCACTGGTAGAGGGCAGTGCGGCTTGGACAGGGAGAGAACTGGGAGACAGCAGCGGGGTTCCGCCCACCCCTTGCCCTTCCCCTTCCCCAGGAAGAGCAGATGTTTATCAAAGCTCCGTTTAGTAATCAAACACTGTGTGGGGTTAGAGCCTTGCCCCAATCTGATTTAGGAACCATTCCCCCGTGGCACCCGCCTCTCTAAAAGGAAAGGAAAAAGAGAGAACAACAGCAATTCTTGCCTTTGAATCCAGAGTTGCTTCCGGAGCTCTGACTGGTTTTCCACGGACCCTTAAGGCCTCGGTTGTGGAAAGCTGGCCCACCTGTGATGTCTCTGAAATAACCGGTTCACCTTCTCCACCCGTACTCCACCCTCCTCCGCGCTGCGCTCATCACCGGCCAAATGTGCATTACTGTGCATTTGCCTCCTCGTTTGCTGCCGTTTCCTCCCTTTAGAATGGAGGCACCTGGGGTTCGCCTGTCCTGTGCATCGCTGATGCCAGTTTCCAGCACATTCCTGGCACTCAGGAGACTCGGTACTTGAGTGAGAACGCCGCACGCAGCCAGTGACGTGAAGGAACTGACAGGAACGGCCTCCAGCCGGCGGGGACCTGCTGGGGCTACGCGGCGATGGCACAACTCATTCGCCTGGCCCCACTTACCGAGTAACGCCACCAAGAGGAGAATCACGACGATGTTGTTGGCGTTCTTTTCCTTGTAGAAGTACAGCAGCAAGCAGAACAGAATGATCTCCACGAGCTACGGAAAGCAGCGAGAGGGGGTGGGGCGTCAGTGGGCAAGACCGGGAGACCCCAGCGGCCTGGGCTGGAGGTTATTGGGCTGACTTCAGTAGTCACAGACCCTCGAGGGCATGGAAACACCCAGCACTCCCCAAACTACTGAAAGGATCCTGTGGAAAAGGAGGGAACACTGCGTGAATCTCTCGAACCCCTAGACAAGGAGAAGGGGTCTGCTTCATGGTTGAGCTTTGAGGGTGAGGGGCTGGCCTCATGTTTACCCTGTCTTGGATGGACAGGATTCATAGGCTGAGATGGTCTCTTCCCACTCTATTGCTCTGTGGGTAACCCACTAAAACTGGGGGTCAGTCAAGGGGGGAGACACTTGCTCACCGAGGAGAGCTCTTTGGCGAAGCATGCAAGTATTTGTGCCCCTTGCCCTCTAGCCAAGCCTCCAATGTGTGTGGCTCTGCAGAGTAGGAAGAGAGGGCCCTGGCGTCGGGGAGGTCCAGGAGTGGACTTGGACCTGCTTCTAAACTAGTTGTGTGACCTTGAGCAAGTCACTTAGCTTCTCAAAATTCAGTTACCTCCTCTGTGAAATAGGAAGAATAATTCTTACTTCACAGGGTCATAATTAAAGCTTACACTTAATGAACACATAAATAAGCCAGGTACTGTTCTAAGCATTTTATCTATACTCAAGTAATTAAGTTGGCACAATAATTCTATGAAGTAGACACTATTACACCCCCAAGCTAGAAAGTGGCAGAGCCAGGATTTGAACCTAGACACTCTTGCTCCAGGGCCCATATACTTTACCACTAAGCTACACGGCCTGAGGACAGACAGCCATGTGCTTGGCAATTATAAGGCTCTCAATCAGTAGACTTACTACAAAACAATGGCAAATCTAAAGTGTGAGAACTCCCCCCTATTTTGGATAAACAACTTGTCCCTTCTATTCCTTAAGGGCTCAGACGCTGGGAAGTACTTTCCAAGGAGTCAAGTCAGCCCAGCACCCAGCAAAACTAAAGCAAAAATATTTGACAATAGCTCAGCTCTGTTTGCTTACCCCAACCGCCTACCAAAGATGATTTGCTATAAAAACCAATGCAGAGATATTAATGGCACTTTGAAAAGAAAATTTTAGAAAATTCCTCTCAATGAGAGACCACAAAACACAGCTGTTTTCATTTTCCTGTTTCTTCCTGGCTTTGTCGCAGTGAATATCTATTTTATCTACTCATCGCTGTAGTCCACGCACCATTTTGTATGGGGCTGCTTTTAGTTGCCATAAACAACTTTCATGTTTTATGAAGTTGTCATAATTATCTTTAATGGCTGCAGAATAGCCCATCAGGCAGATGGGGAGATATTTAGCATTCCCGACCAGTGTGCACGCACCAGGGGGCCCAATTTCTCGGCCGTTCTTCGCGACGCCTAAATGCGAGCTGGCACGGCACTCGGCATTGTCTCGCGAGATGGCGGAGTACGAGCTGGGGCCTCCCGATAGACCACGAGCTCTGTGAGCGTGCCTCATTTATTTTTTTTTTAAGTCCACAGTGTCTGGCACGTAAAAGACACTCAGAAGTATTTATTGAATTCGATTTGGCCAAATCTCTCCAGCTGGCAGCACTGTCTCGTAGTCACAATGAAAAAGGACCAGCTGAGCATCTGCCAAGTGCTGGGTGGCTTCCACGCCACCTCGTGTCTCTCCCAGCAGCCAGCCCAGGTCCAGTGACTTGGCCTCGGGTCAAGGGACTTGGCTAAAGTCACGCAGCACATGACGGATTCGGGCCTGTGTTCAGGGTGAACCTTTCGCTGAAGAGGTGGGTCTCTGGTCATGTCCCACAGACAGGCCTCCACGCCCACCGGGTAAACACTGGGGCTGGCTGGCCGTGGGGAGGTGACACAGCCCCAGCTCAGGGAAATCTTTCTTCTGCCTGTGGGCGATCTGAGGAAAGGCAGTGTCCTGAGGCCTCCGGGGCAGTCCCAGGTGCTCACGTGGAGGGCGCACAGTGAACGACCTGGTCAGTGGGCCACGGTGAAGGACAGTGGCACGCGAGGCCAGGCCGGCCAGCTTCAAGTCCAGCACTGCTCTCGTGGGACTTGGAACAAGCGAGCTAACCTCCCTGAGCTCTGGTTTTCTCATCCAGGAAACAGAGAGAAAAGCACTTCCACTCCAGGGTTGCTGAGAGACCCTGAGATGACACATAAAGAGTGTTGAGCGCAGAGCCGGGCATGGAACGGGGGCGCTCGTGTACCAGCAGCTTCAGCAAACGCCTTCTGGGGGTGTCCAGGCTTGTGGCGTTTCTGGGCCACACTGGAAGAAGCAGAGTTGCCTTGGGCCACACGTTAAATGCCTTGCGACACGTAATCACAAAATGATCTCATCATGTTTTAAGTAAATTTACGATTTTGTGTTGGGCCGCATTCACAGCCACGCTGGGCCGCGGGTGGCCTATGGGCCGCAGGCTGGACACCCCTGCCCCTCGGCTGTTTTCCTTGGTTGGTTTACTTGCAGACCCCACACGGGATGTACCTGGGGCGGACAGCACTGAGCTCGGCCGGGGGTGTAGGAGACACCGCTTCCAGTGTCTCCCCTGTGTCTCCCAGCCGTGTGACACTGGGCAAAAATGAATAAATAAATAACACCTAATAATTATTTAAAATGTCAACTTTTCTTCTTACCATAAAAGTTTTAAATGCTCCCTGTAGAAATTTTGGATGATGCATAAAGACAAAATAATAAACTCGGTCATCATTCTATCTCCTAGAGACAACTACTGATGGAACTTTTCGCCCATCTAGTCTTTTTCGGCTACAATACATGTGCCACCTACAAATACCTCTAAAAAATCAAGTTATCACTGGCCCCGACCAGGGTGGCTCAGTTGGTTGGGCGTTGTCCCAAAAAGCCAAAGGTCACCAGTTCTGTTCCTGGTTGCAGGTTCAGTCCCTGGCCGGGGCATGAATGAAAGGCAACCCACTGGTATTTCTCACGCTCTCATGTTGATGTTTCTCACCCTCTCTTCCTCTTTCCTTTCCCCTCTCTCTAAAAATTAAATTAAATTAAAATACAGTGAAGTGAAATGAAGTAATGTAGACATTACTCAGGACCTAAGACAAAAGCATTTCCCGTGAACCGTGTACTCTGCACAAGCATCGTGTTCAGTGCAGTGAAACACACTACAGCTCACGTGCACCCCTGTTGCGGGGTATTCGGGTTCCTAGAACCAGATGCCCCTCCCAACACCTCATGCAGAAGGACCAGCGGCTTCTCTTACCATGTACAGGAGGAAAGGCCAGCTCACGAGGTGCCTGGTGATGTTCTCGCCGGTCATCTTCTCGTGACTGTTGGGTGCGAACGTCACCAGCAGGTAGGTGCCCACCACAGCCAACCCGCAGCCAACGAAGGACAAGATGTAGCGCCCTGTGGGGGAGAGGAGGCTGTCGCAGGGCTCACCGTGGGTACAGACCACGGCAGGCCAGCGGCGTTGCCCCAGAAGCACACACTGCCCCAGATCACGAGACGAAGTGACTCCAGCTAAGCGTTCCTTTCTGGAAACCCAAATGCTTTCTTGGGAGACTGGCCCAAGGCCTAGCTGGGAGCCGGGGCATGTGGGAGCAGAGGTCATCCGGCTGCACACCTAAGCTGCAGGCTCTGATTTGGCCTCCATCAGTAACAAAGCCTAACTTCTGACCTTCTGCCTCTGACTGTTGTGGTTATTCCCCATTGTTTCAGAAGGCCGTTAGGGAAAGGGGGTGCCTTTTCTTTGGCTTTCTAAAACCCCAACAGTAGATACTCAACAAATATTGATGGAATGGTTTGGGGACCAGCGATTGAAAAACCCAGCTGTCCTGATGAGAGTGGAGTTGAGACCCACACTGGAGAGCGGGAAGCGGAAGGTCTCGGAATTGGGGTGAGCGGGTTTTATAACGAGAAAATGCACAAGCGCAAAATTAACAGGGGCTCTGATTGGTAAACTTACTCAGAAAGTCCTTAGGTTTCCATTTTTCTTTGATGAATATGATTCCTATGATGGCGCTAGCTATAAAAAAAAACAAAAAACAAAAACACACGGGGAAAAGAATTGAGGCTGCCATCAGTCAAAAGGAGCGCCTTCGCCCATGCCTGCTGGGCTGTCTTGTCTGCGTTGGAGGCTGGACTTGATGCTTCCTGTCCTCTCACTCCTCCTCCCAAGAGCTCCGGCCCTACCATTTCCCGTTATTCCATCTCAGATAGGGAGGGTGCCCTCTGATCCTTCCTGAGGATTTCTTACAAGACCTGGAGCACTGGGTGTTTGCTGAGTACTTCCTGGGCAACAGGCAATTTACTAAAGTTATTCTTGGTATGTTCTCCCTTTGATCTAGGTGCTATTATTATTCCCATTTCAAAGATGGGGACACTGAGGCTAAGAGAGGTGAAGGGCCCACTAAAGATTGTGCAGCTGGTAGGCGAGGGCTGGACTTGAGCCCAGGACTGTCAGACGCCAGGGCTCTTGCTCCTTGTCTGGCACTGCCTGCCTCTGACATCGTCACCCTGAATCTTGTTTCTCCCTGACCTTCCACATTTGCAGATGTACTCAGACTTCCTGTGACCGCCCTGCGTGACGGGGCTGGCCTGCCCTGAGAACAGCCCTGGGCTGCTATCTCAGTTCTGCCTCTTCTGGCCATGTGTCCCGGGGACAGTCGGTTCCCCTGGGTCTCAGGCTCCAAGTCTATGAAATAGTGTGCTGGGTCCAGGGCCTCCACTGCGGATTGCTAGACATCCAGGAAACTATCGGTGGCTTGAAAACAGCCACAGTGGGGGGGGGAGGGGGTGGTGTTTAGAACATGTAGATTGGAACATTACAAATCAGGTCTACCTATTCTGCCTTCTCACTTTTCTAACCCTCCCTCCCTCCTTCCCCTCCCTCCCTCCACCTCTTCTTCTCTCGCCCTTTCTCTGAGTTGATGTATCAGCACACCACTGAAAATACCTACTCCTCTGACTGATGGGGGCAAATCAATGAGCTAATGTATGTAAATCATTTATCGCACAGTAAATGCTCAATAACTGGGCCATTACTATTATTCAAGTACTTGGAACAGTGCCTGATGAGTAATAAGTACCAATAAATGGTGGTTGTTATTATTTTTAATATTATTTCTCACTGGTTGACTTGAGAAGCTCTAAGAACCTCGTAATTTCCAGTGGCAGATACCAGAATTCCCATCATTATAATTCAACCCCTTGTTTTGAAGAATTCGATTATTTGATTTTTATTAAAATCCAAAGGTTACTATTTAATGCATCTGGTCACCCAGGTACTTATTCCTCATTGTAAATAAAGTCCCGAGAGCCCTTTGGCGAGGTCAGCAGTGGGCAGAGGACAAATCTAAGTACACACAGGGGCCGGGCAGTGACACGGATGCAGGAAGCGGGCCAGACCGGAGACGACAGGCAAAGGCTGGGGCCGTGGCCAACAACTTGCCTCAGCTATGGGCATTTGAACTACATTCTCAAAAAATACTGTGTGGGAAAGAACACGTTTGAGGACCTCATTCTTCTCGTGGGCTGCCAGTGCACCAACCTTGGTCAAGAAAAAGAGGGTTCCATCGTAGGATCAGTGAGAGCCTGCCCCTGGTGACTGGCAGTGACTGCCTGAAGCTCCGAGGAGTCTGAGGGCCCATCCAGGCTCGCTAGGGAGGAATGCTGTGATTGATTAGTGATGTCTGCCTCGGGCACAGGAGGGGCAGGTAGTTGCCATGAGTATGCCATGGCATACTCTTAATTTCAGGCAGAGTAAGATCTGAAATATGGCCTTCTCTTTTAAGGGCAGAGAAGAGCTTGTAGGCAGTGCACGCTTGCCAGCAAGATGGGAGGAAACATTTCAAAGCAAGTTCATTGCCTTTGCTCCTATGTCCAGTGAGCTACTGATCAGCAGTCTATGAACATCTTTTATTTAAGAGGGAAATAATTATTTTCTAATTCTGTTTTATTTGTGACCTCATGGGTTTTAAAGCTCCTTTGTCTTTCAGTTGGTTCCAATGTTCTGAGACACTGGTTCAGTGGTTACAGCAGTCGCACGAAGATGGCAGAGGAGGTTAATGATGTTTTTAAAGTGGTATCAGATGATGTGAAAAAGATCAGATAATAAGCTGAATTTCTTAGAAGAGTAAGATATCCGAAGTCTGTAAAAGCTTAGATTATCTTGACAGTGTTACAATGAATAGGTTAAAGTTTAGCTTCTCCCTGTAGTAGAAATAAAGAGCAATTCTGATAAACTTTCTGAATCTTAAACAGATTCTGGAGCCAGACAGCCCAGTTCATGTCGCAACCCTGCTCCTCAATAGCTATGTGATTTGGGGCCATCAACTCCACCATTCTGTGCCTCAGTTTCCTCATCCGTAAAATGGGGCTAATAACAGTATCTCCCTCAAAAGGTTGCCGGAGGATTAGAATTAACATCCGTAAAGTGCTTAGAGCAGGGCCCGGTGTGTGTGAAGCACTTTGTAAGTGCTGGCTGTTTCTATCAAAGCAAAAGCTGGTATGTTTAACAAGCGTCTTTGACCCCGGTGGGGACACTGTGGTCACATAGGTGGTAAGTCCCCGGGGAGGAGCGGGGGCACCGGACCTTACCGATCACGGAGACTGCGCCAAGGGGCACGATCAGCGAGAGCGGAGCGAAGGCGTAGGAGGCAAACACGCCCAGCTCGCCCAGCAGCATCAGGAACAGGCCCAGCCACCATGTCTTGGTCTTGAAATAGGCCCGGGGGTCCTTGGAGCCCGCCAGCCGGATGTGGCAGTACTTCTGCAACGGTAAGCAAAGCGGCGGTGGTCTGAGTGCTGGACTGTTACTCTAGGACGGTCCGTTTCAAACTGGCTGGGACACCTTAAAAGTTCCCTGGGAAGGTCTGAAAAAATCCATGAGTCTCATCCTCAGGGAAGGTGCGTGTTTCTAACACACATCACAGCTGTGAGCAGTCTGCGGTGGCAGCCATGGTCTCAGGACCCCCACTTCAGCCTGGCCTCAGGGAGACCACCTCCCTCTAACTGCAATGCCCAGGCGTCCCCATGGTTGGGTGTCTGCTCAGCCACACCCTCTTCTGGAGGAGTGTCGGCCGCTCTGCTGGGCAGGATGTGGGTGTCAGCAGACGCTTGGGTGGACGCTTGGCCCAAGTAGGGCCGACAGCACCCTCTGTTCTGGAAATGTGGGCTTGGAGCTGAGGCGGTGACTAAGGAAAGTGAGGAAGTCACACTGACTCCGAGGGCCAGGGCCGCCTCCCGGGGAGGGTGGGGATGGGGGCTGCGAGGAAGCAGATACGGAAGCAGAGATGCTGTCTGTAAAAAGAAGAGCGTGAAGCAGACAAGTAGCTGGGAGACCGTGCAACCTCAGAAACATGCCCTCACATATGTGTACACGGGAGCCAGGATGTACACGTGTGTTTACATCCTTGCTCCAGGGAGGGAGAGGGTTCACCACCGGGGAAGCGGGGTGGCCACCCTGTTGTGGGATTATTCTGTCCATGGGGTCGAGACTTAGTCTGGGTCCCCAGAAGCAGTCCCTGAAACAAGGTGTTGGGAGCAGGTAGTTGATTTGGGAAGTGATTCCAGGAAGCACAAGTGGGGGAGTGGGGGGCGAGGCAGGGGGAGTGGGAAGGCCCAATGAGGAGTGTACTCATGGGTGAGTCAGTGCCTTAAGCAAGTGGGGCTCAGTCCCACTGGGGACCCTCTGAGAACCCTGTAAACTCACCCAGAACCATCCCACCTGAGGCCTGAGCCTAACTTCCACCCCCCACCCCATCCCTGAAGGCTGCCCCAGGGGCATTAACTGCCACCTAATACATTCGCCACGTGTCCCAGTCACGCTTGCAGGCCAGAGATTGTTAAGTAATGGAGAGCACTGGCATTAGAGAGGTGATGGGTGGATGGAGTTGGGGCAAAGAATCAAGAGATTCTGGAAAGACCCGCAAGCTACTGCCCCAGGCCCAGCCCAGGGAGGGAGTGGGCGACCGCGCACAGAGCACAGGCTGCTGGGCCTGCACCGGACGCCCTGGCTCGCTGCCTGGACCTCTGCTCCAGACGGGCGGGTGGCAAACTCACCTGGAGGTTAAGCGCAATGCTGACCACGAGGTGCCCGAAAATCGCCAACAGGGCGCCGATCAGGTTTTCCTGTAAGGGAAGTTCACAGAGGCAGATATGAGCTGGGCCTAAGCGAAGGGCCCCAGGACGCACTTGAAACTCAAGTGTTTGCGGCCCAGAAAAACTGCCATCACAAAGCCCCTCCCCAGACCCTCAGCGGGGGTGGCAGGGCAGTGAGGAGGTGAAGGGAAACCGGCTGCCGTGGGGGCGGCAGACAAGCCGACACCATTTCAGGGAGCGGGTGAGACTGGAAATGAAACCTGTAAACCTCACAAGGATGAACCAAACTAAGCAGCAAAAACATGGTTAAAAGGTTACTATGGTAACAGAGGCTGACATTTGCGGAGCATTTACACATGCGGGCACGGGGCTAGGCCCTTTCTGCGCATCGCCTCCTCTGGGCCACAGGCAGCCCTCCTGAGTGGGTCCTGCTGGGAGACCTATTCTTAACACCTAAGTTGAAAGGAGTTTATAGGTGAACAAAGTAAGGCTCAAAGAAGTAAAATAACCTGCCCAAGGTGAGGACAGAAGGGTTTGAAGCTGGAAGTCTGACTTCCACTCTCCAGGGATAACTCCTTCTCCAGACCATGGCTTCAAGATAAATTTGGAAAAAAATAACCCCACCTTGTAAGTGCTACCTTCCCGGGAATGACGCAGACAGCTGCGGTTTCTTTAAAAACCCGTGTCTATAAGCACATTAGTCTCCATGAATAATAACTGGCTACAGACTCAGTTAGTAACAGCGTAATGTAACTAATGCCCTGTCATCCAAGCGGTTCAAAGGGCTTCCTCAACACTAATTACGCCCCAAACCCTTGTGAAGTGGTGACTGGTGCAATTTTATGGGCATTTAAAGTCAAGCAAAGAAGTTGCCTCGGGCCCAGGGGTCACAGTTCGAACACGCACCTATGAGCCGCCCCCAGTGCCTGGCAAAGGGCGACTCAGAGTCAGGCGCCGGCCAGCAGGACTCCTGACACGGAGGTCCCCGCCAGGGTCAGCGCTTCCTAACTGCGCAGCGGGGTGTCCAGGTCCGCTGGATGCTGAGGGGAGTGGGGGGCGGTGCCTGGCCAGCTCCCACCTCTGGACCCCAGTGGACTCTCCCCATCCGCGTGGCTCGTCTGTTTGCCGCGGGACACTCCCGGTGTTTTTGTGGACGTTACTTGCAGTGTTGGGTGTTCATAAGGACTCACAGGGATCTGGCCCTGGGACCAGTGACTCTGTGCCGTAAGGCAAGGTGCGGACTGAAACACCGACGTTTCCGGTGCCGGGCGGGCCTCGTGGCGGCCACCGTCTGCACTGGTGGCATCTTGGGTTCTTGAGTTCCTTCCCCCACACCACCAGACGGGGAGGGTTCTTATGAGGCAATGCTTAGTCGGATTTCAACTGAGGTAGAAGGGGGCGGGGAAGGGGAAGAGGGCTGTCTTTATTCTGAAGGCAAATTCCTGGGGGGGTGGGGGGGTCTCAGTTACCTAAGGAGATCCAAGACTCAGCCCAGGTCACAGAGTGAGCAAAGTGGCAAAACCAGACCTGGACACAGGTCTCCTAGCACTTGGTCCCCAGTGTATCATGGGCAAGGAGGCAGTGAGGCCTCCCAACTGTCGGGGACCTCGTGTTTAGGGCACATCTAGTCCAAACTGGGGTATTTCCAGAAGGATGAGGGGCCTTATCAATACACGCGGACATGGGGCACACACCAGGGCCCTCGGTCACTGTACTCATCGCACAGGCTCTGAACGGGAGTGTTTCTGGCGACGGGAGCGGGGTGAGGGCAAAACCACAGGCGGGCAACTAGATGTCAGACTCAGCTGCGTCTAGCTAGGGCTTCAGCAGACCAAACATGAGGGAGGGGGAGGGGAGGGGAGGGGGAGGGGGAGGGGGAGGGGAGGGGGAGGGGCGGCGAACCCAAAGCCACTTCCCTCTTTGCTTCAGCTACCTCGTGTGGGCTTGTCACTCTCAAAACCAGCCCACCTGGGCTGTGGTCCTGCCTCTGCGCCCCGCTGCTGTGTGACTTCGGGGGAATTACCTTCCCTCTCGGAGCCTCGGCTTCCCCCCTGAAAAGTGGAGCCGACTGCAGACCCCCACACGGTGGCCGTGTTGTGTGAAATGAGGAGCAAGCTGAAACCTTACATGACACGAGATGCAAAAGCAATTCCGGCTGTCACTGTTATTTTTTCGACTTTTATTGCAAAATAAATATCAGGACCCTTCTGGCTCTGATATTCTCTGATCCAAGAATTGATCTTTCACCAGCTACAACTCTGAAAGCAAAGAAGCCGTTCCCAGAAAAGCAGCCAACGGTCGCAGGGGCAGGAAATTCTGCGTGGGTGCCGGTGTCCAAGGGAAAGCTCAGCTCAAATCTCCTGTTCCAAGGGCTGCCTTACCTCTGCCAACAACAACTTTTCTTGAAATCCCACAGCAACAAGACCAGTCATCACTTGTTATTGCAACTGGCCTCCCACAATCCCGTGGGCTTCAACCGCTAACAGTTAAGTATAAGCATTCTGGCTTGCTCGGAGAGTTACTCCCATTCAAACACAGGAGATGCAGCAGTCTGGGTAGCGAGGCTCTGAACACCTATAACCGGGTTTCAGGCCAGCTCCCGACACTCACCTTCTCCAGCAGGTAAGGCATTGCCATTTCGACAGCAAATAACCAGTGTAAGGGAGAGAGGGGGCTTCCCAGAGTGCTGGCATAATGCAGGCGGCAGGGAGTGGTGGGTAAAACCAAGGGCCTTGGCAATGCACAGATTTCCATTAGAATCCCAGCTTTACTATACCTACTGTGTGGCACTGGGACAGTTCATGAACCTCTCTGTGTATCAGTTTCCTCAGATGTAAAATGAGATTATGCTGTACCCACCTTCTGGGGGTTTTCTGAAGACTAGCACAGTCCTTGTCATACAGTAAACACTCAGCAAAGCTTAGCTGCTATTATTATTATTGTGATGAGATTAATTATTACCACAGTAACTGTGAACGGGCTATGGAAGTGTGGTGGAGGACCGGTATTTCCTGACCGGAAGGCTGATAAAGGCTTCATGGACAAGGTGACACCTGAGCTGGAGCTGGAAGGGTGGGTAGGATTTCCAAAGGCAGAAATGGGACGGTGAGGGCAGCTTCGGTTTCCTCTGTAAGCTCAGGTCATCTTTGCGACCACCCTCTAGGACGGATTTAGAACCGGCCTGCAGGAGTTCCATGGCTTTCGCCAAGTTATACTGCTGGCAAGTGACAGAGCTGGGATTCGAAGCCAGGTATCTCGGATTCTAAAGGCCGTGCTGCTCACACCCTGCTCTGTCTCTGTTTGTGCACCCAATTCTGTCCTGGAGGGCAGGCACTCCTGGAAATAGCTTCCCCTACCGCCCTTGTGCCCTTATAGACTGTAAGCTCCTTCAGGGAAGCGCTACGGCAACAATATACACAGCTGCCGCCCCACCCAGCATTGGCGGTGCAGGCATGGATACATCTGTTCAGTCGAAGTGCCTATTTGCTAAATAGAAGAAATTGAGGCCTGACTCTTCTGGTCGGAGGCACAGCCTCCAATGTCAAGGACTGGCTGCCATGCTGCCTCCTGGGCGGCTCCGCCTGTGGGTCTCTTTCACAGACCACCCTCCCGCAACAACCAGGATCCATTTCCTGTTGGGTCAGCAGAGCGCAGGGCTGCAACTCAAGGCAAGCCGAGTGCTCCTACCTCCGTCCCACTGATCAGGTTGGACTTGAGGCTGCTTGACGTTCTCCTTGCCCCACAGGAAAGAGACAGTGTGAGGGCAGCCTGCCCAGCCCACGGGCCCACTCTTCTCCGAGAGCTCCCCACAGTGATGGGGCCCAGGGATCATGTCTTCATGTCTGCCGAGTGACCCGCCCCCTGGCCACCACTCAGTGAACCAATGCAGACACCACTCAGATCTTCCCTCTTTTGAAGGTGAATGTAAGAGTTCTAGCACCTTCCAAGCCCCACTGCCCTTCCTGCCCTCGGGTTTCATGAGCTACTCTGTAGCCTTATTAGGATTTCCCTTTTTGCCTTAGTGTTTCTGAGAGGGGGTTTTTATTCCTTGCAAGCAACACAGCCTTAACAGAATCAAAAGGAGATGATTTCCCTTAAAAACCCTTACTCTTACCCCCAGGCAAAATTTGTTTTAAAGATTTTATTTATTTTTGGGGAGAAAGTAAGGGAGGGAGAAAGGGAGAGAAACATTGATCAGTTGCCTCTCACACGCCCCTAATGGGGGACCTGGCCTGCAACCCAGGCATGTGCCCTGACCGGGAATTGAACCCGGAATCGAACCAGCAACCCTTTGGTTTGCAGGACCATGCCCAACCCGCTGAGTCACACCAGTCAGGGCACCCCCGGGCACAATGAACTATACCTTCCTCTGCTCTCTGCACCTTAATATTCTTTCTGATAACCACGAGGCATTTCCAGGGCAGATACCCTCTTTATGCCTGGCACTTGGGCTGGGGGCTTTTGCACTGATCCACACAGCCCTGGAGGGATGAAGGATGGAGGGAGGTATTAGCACCACCATTCTGCCCATAACAGAAGCTCTGACAGGTTAAGCCATCATGCCCAAGGTCACTTAGTTAGAAAGGAGCAGAGTAGGGATTTGAACCCAGGTCTTTTTCCTTTCACCCCACCTGGTGTTTTAGACAGCGCATACCCCTTTGTTCACATCCTTGTCTCCCATTTCAATTCTCAGGCTCTTTGGCAGAGTCACCACGGACTATTTGTCTTTGCTCTGGCACACAGGCATTTCTATAATAAGTAACTGAATTAATTTGTGATTAAAACGGAAACATTAAACATCTCATCAGGGAGAGTGTTGCATTTTCTTTGATTCTGTGTTTGTCTCTTTGGCATCTATTCCATACAGGACCAATTATACTAGCAATATTTTCTTATTTTCTGTGTTCTTGGTGCTCTGGCATTGGCGGCCTTGCTGAGTAGGGACAGACCGCCTCTCACAGGCCTGGCCATTCTTAGCAGGGCAAAGGGACATGCACTCGGGACGTTCGCGGTGTACAGCCTGCATCAGAAACAGTCTGCACCCCCAGCCGGAGGGGGTCTGCCAGCGAGTCCCGATACGGACGTTCAGCGGATCCCTGGACCATCATTCCAACAGCATGCTTTCGATCATGATTCCACTCAGTGACATGTGGACACACTCCACGGACAAGGTCAACCGAAACAACCAAGGCACAAAACTTCCTGTACAATCTGATCAAATCTGTGATGCCAGAAACAGACCAGAAGCAAATAATACTGAAGTATGAACTTAGCTTGTGTATGAGTAATGGGATAGGTAATTGAAAAAAAATCAAATCTTGCCCTGGCTGGTGCGGCACAGTGCCAGCCTGCAAACCGAGAGGTCGCCGGTTCAATTCCCAGTCAGGGCACATGCCTGGGTTGCAGGCCAGGTTCCCAGTTGGGGGTGCACGAGAGGCGAATGATTAATGTGTCTCTCACACATCACTGTTTCTCTCCCTATCTTTCTCCCTCCCTTCCTCTCTCTCTAAAAGTAAATACATCAAATGTTAAAAAAAAATCAAATCTTCTAAGTGTGACTGCATTCTTTTAAAAATATTTCTCTGCCTCTCTCTATTTTTGTATTTGAATGAGCGTTTCTTTTCTTTTGGTTACACATTCTCCTGTGTGTAGAGAGCCGGCCTATGTCTGCCAGCGACAGGCACACATGCCCTGGACATCTCTGTCAACTGTCGCTGTGCTGTGTTTGTTACCTTCTCCTGAGAGAAATACAAAATTCCAAAACCAAAAAAAAAAGCTCTTGCCTTGTAGGAGAAGGAGCCCTGGCTCGCGGGGCTGGTGCTGCTGGTGGGCGGGAGCTGCTGCAGGTGCAGGGCCGCGCTGTGGGCTCCGTCCATGGCGTCTAAGGGCGCATTCCGCAGGCCTGGCTCGGGGGCTGGGGCTGAACTAAGCGGGATGAGGGCGGAAAGCCGTCTCCCCTCACGGTGTTCACCCCCTCCGGCCAGCCATCTCTGTCTCACACCGGAACTGTGCTTCGGGGCTCTTCCCGCTGGTTTACTGCCCTCTCCTCATCTTCGCGCACAGAAGCGCCAACTTCTGTCTCTCCCAAGCAGACACCCAGGAATGCGTTTCCGAATCTTGCGGTGCTCTGGGGAGGGGGGCGGAGGAACATTAAAAATGCATGTACCATGAAACACAGAGGCCAACCCTGTTACCTGAGAATACCGGTAGGATAAAATAGCAAGCTGTTGTGAGAAGTGAGGCCATTTACAAAATTATATCATGTCTTGACCCCCCTAATAAAAATGTAGCTCCTCTACCTCAAAATATTTCTCCTTGGCCCTTAAAAATCCCCCATCCTCTCCCCCTCCACTTTCTTCCTCCCATTACACCCTAATTTAAGTTCTACCTTTTCCATAGGCTCCTCTACATAGTAGAATCCTACCTATGTCTACTTCTCCAGGCCTCAAAAACAAACAACAACAACAACAAAAAAAACACAAAAAAACCCCACCGCCATAAATAGGGAACATCTGGGGTCTGACTCAGGAAAGAAAGAATGAGAAGAGTTATCTCCATGGAAGAGGGAAGAACTGGGCAGCTACCGAGGGTCACAGAGGTGACACTGGCCTGGAAGGTGGCTATGTGACTAGCTCGCTTCGCCTCCGGGAGGCTCAGCTGCCTCATCTATAAAGTGGGGGTAATAATGTGACCTCAGGTACAACCAGCAAGGATGGCAATTCCTGTTAACTCCATTGGACTGATACTTTCAGGGGGTCTCAAACTTTTCTACCAAATAGAGTAGAGAAAGTATGCCTCTCATGGTTTGGGAAGCGTGACCTAACTGCCCGCCCCCCCAAAAAAAAGATGTTAAGGATTTCTTTGAGGTCCTCTTATATTGTAACAAAATCATACACATTTGGATTCTACTGCAAAGTCTATGTTCATTTTAATATACAAATATTTTAAGTTGCTTTTTATCTGCCATGTGCTACTGGTTTTATCTTGGGCAAATCATTTAACTTTTCAGCTAGTTTCCTCTGCTGTAAAATGCAGATAATAACATTCCTACCCCACAGGGTTGTGGGGAGAATTTGCTGAAATCGTGCATGTAAAATGCATGTGCAGTGAGTGGTGAATGAATGTCAGCTGTTGCTTTTATTCTTAAAGTATTTAAGAATACTTTATTTTAAAGTATTGCTTTTATTCTTACCAGTTTAATTATTTAATTTACCCATGAATACTCCTTTCTTTACCTCATGCAACACATATTTATGGAGGGCTGACTATGTGTCTCTGCCATGCCCCCAGGCCCCAGAAGGCTGCCTCTGGCCTTCTAGGTGGCGTCAGTTTCTTCCATTATCTGGAAGATAGCCCCGGGCCTAGGGATTCTGGTTCCTGGTGTGACTAGCACAGTCATGTGTCATGGTGCTAACACTGTGTCTGGCATCTAGGAGACACCAGATGCAGGGCTTGTCACAGCGACAGCCATGTAGAACATCTGGCCCAGGTGTCATGTTATCAAAGGGCCTTCAGATGGGTTTATACTTCTATGTGCATGTGTGTACATATGTATGTACACACACAGTACACACACACACACACACACGTTACAATCAGGCAACTTCATAACTTACATCCCAGAACCAGACCTCCCAGACTGGAAAGCCCTATGAATGTTAGTAATCTTGTGAAAAGCATAATTATTTATCACTTCACTTTTATGTGTGTGTGACAAGCGTAATTTTGTTAAATTCTTTATCCCTATTTTAACTATTTAGTACAATAGCCTTAGGAAGACAGAGTGGCCAAAGGCTCTCTCTACCTCTGCAAAACCCTTAGAAGCTTTCAACCTGGAGCTAGAAGGGCTCAAACTCTGGCAAGATGTCTGCTGAATCCCCCGTTCAGTTGCTCCCTCCCCAGACCTAGTCCAGAACCTGTCACGGTGACCTCCATGCTACCTCCTGACTGCCGAAACAGGCAGGCCTGTTAAGCACCTGCTGCATTGTGGCTGCTTCCCAATCAAGAGTGGTACTCAACTGCAACCCCAGAGATTCAACAGATACACCCAGCCCCACCCACAGGATGTGAGAGAAAGCAAACAGGCCTTGGGGACACGCCAAGGGGTTGAAAGGAACCCAGGCCTGCTACCCTCCTCTAGACCAGCTAGTTCGCCCAGGTGGATTTGTTTCTGCTTTTGTTTGTGGTGGTGGTGGTTGCTGTCATTTAATTTGCTTTTTAAAAGCAGCCTCCCTCTCTGCCTGAGAAAGACCAAGGCCCCTGAGGAATTGTCTAGGAAAAAGGGCTCTTCCTAGCTGCTAGGAGTTTGGAATGAAAGCCTTGGAGGAACGCTTTGCAAGTTGTCCTTCCTTATAAGGTGCACACACTTCTCCCAGTGGCTCCCTTTTCCTGACTTCAAAGCACTTCCCCAGGATGGACATATGCCCAAGGGACAAGTAACTGACTGTCGCCAGCTGTCCCTTAATTTTGAGGCCCTCACAGTCACCACGGAGCACAGGGTTCCTGCTGGAGAGGAAAGGTATAATTCTCTAGGTGCTTGCTCCACTCCACCCTGCACGCCTTATCTCAATGAATTACAATATCTCACCAACCCACAGAGCAGGTTTTACAGAGGAGAGAACTATAGTCATGGCTGCTAAGAGTAGGGTCTGTATCAGAATTTGGCTCGATCTAAAAAAATAAGGAAAAAACAGATAAAACATGCCTCCCCTCCTCACGATTCAGCTTTTTGCTGTTGAGTGCCAGTTACTTGCTCCCCAGTCCCTTCCTAGTGAACTGGAAAATGCAACTTCCAGCAGGCTACGTAGATTAGGAACACTTCCTCTTACTGCACCTGCTATTGCCAGGAAGCCCGAGCCAGCGTGTAGAGGAATAATTTTGGCAAAGTTACTCCATTTCACTTCCCGACTTAGTAAAGCCTGTCATCACCTTCATTAAGGCAAACCCATGCCCCCCCTCCTTGCACTCCCAGTGCCAAAATGGAAAAATATTCGGAGGCAGCAAGGCTGCTGACAGCAAGAAGGAAGCGTAATTTATACTAGGGAACCTTAGATAATAACAAATACACTCGCTTTTCCAGAAACGAAGACTGAACTCAAGTCCCCCCTCTATCAGTCTTAATCACTACTCACCCGCGGCGTTTCCTCCAAGGCCCACCTATCAGAGGTTTTAGAGAAATGACTTTGACTCTTCGCGCAACCGGAGGCACAGCCCCCTTAATTCCTCCCCCAACTCGGTGCTACCTGGATCCTGCAGTGTTTTGCTTTCAAAGACCGTGATTTGATTTGCTCTTCCCCCTGCCAATCAGAAACTGGAGACACTTCGCTCAGACGAGTGGCTGGGAGGAGGAGGATGGGCGGGTCATCCCCGGGTATCGGCTGCACCTCAAAGCTTGGTTGAAGCGTAGGGTGAGACTTGGGAAGGCGGCGCCCTGTTGGAGCCTCGAGCTCACCTGAAGCCGGTCCCCCCTACCGGTCACAGGAGGGACCTTGGAACACACTCGGCTCCCGGTCTCCCTCTGTCCCGGAGAGCTCAGGAGGTGGGCAGCTAGCTTGCCAGGTGTCCTCCCTCCTTAACCTCAGAGCCACTTCCCGGATTTTGCTCCTGCTGTTCCCCTACGCTCTCACCACGATTCAAATCCTGCACATCCTTCAAGACCCCGTTTCCCCCCCAGAGTTGCAGGGCCTGCCCTCCCGGAACACCGGTTGGGTGCACGGTATACCAACCCTCCCAGCATGTCCAAGGCTCAGCAACTGTTGGAAACTCCCAGCGAGCCTAGCTAGCAGCGAGGTTTCCCTGATGCACAACTGGAATCACTACCACGAGCATGGAACTTACACCTTCCCACTCACACGCAATTCCAGATCCTCGCGACCACCCTTTGAGTGAGACATTGAGCTCACCCCATTTTCCTGAGGAAGAAACGGCATTTGGGCAGAGCCCTCGGTGATGACAAAGAGCCAGTTGTGGCCGAGAGAGCTCAGAGGGAACGCCTGAGAGCGGATCGAGGTTGGGACTGGTGCGAGAATTTTCTGGGGCGTGGGTGGTAGGAGCTGCCTTCAGAGGGATGGGCCAGGGACAACTTGTATCAAGATGTTTGGATTTCGTCGTAAGTTCAAAGAGAAGCCTAGGAGGGTTCTAAGCAGGGGAATGACGAGATGAGGTGTGACTGCTCCGAAGCTGGCGAGGAGGGACTCAAGGAGCAGCATGTGGTTGACTTTGTACCACCGCCCAGAGCAATCCTTTTCTTTTGTTACTATAAACAGGGCTTGGATGATGGTTAGTTCTCTTAGGCTCATTCCTTGAAGCAGGATTTTCGGGTGCACAAATTGTAAGGCTTCTTGTCTATCACAAGAGTTTTGAGGGGTCACGTAGATAAGCCCCTATTAAGTTTCCCCGTCGGTCCTGGGGTTTAACCAAACTGAAGCCTAAAATTCTGGCAGCTTCCCTGCAGCCTTTAAAACGTCTCTAACGATTGGCCAATAACTTTTCGTTCTAAAGAAACAGAGGACACCATTGGCTAGAGTTACTCAGGCAGGAAGGTGGACTCTAGAATGTTAGGCCTGTGGTTGCCATAGCGACGGGGAAAGTTGGACAAGGCGAGACTGATCCCAGGGGGACCCGATGAGGTAGGAGGCGGTTGCTGGCGGGGCACCGGTCCCAGGGTCAGGGGAGGAGGACCTGGCACACCTCATGGGACTGCCACTGAGTCCCTGCGCCCCTGGGTGCTTGTCGAATTTTGGTGCTTACTAGGTGATGACCTGAGGGCAAGAAGCCACTGTTGGAGGTGATCCTCCCTGGGATTGTGCCCTCAGAGTCCTGGCCTGAAAAGTCGTGATTATAGCCCAGCATGCCCTCCCCACGGAGCTTCTGTGATGGGCATGGGCATCTGACTCCCCTGCCTCAGCCCCTGCAAGTGTACACACGTTTGGGACCTGCGGTGCCTGGCAGCTGGTGGGCGACAAGGAGGAGAATTCTAATCCCAGCTCCTTAGGTGTCTCTCTGCCAACATCTTTCCTGCTCCCGGCCTCAGTTTAGCCATCTGCAAAACAAAAGGGTGATATTGGAATCTAGTGCTCACTAGCTGCCTGCGACACTTTCCAACACATGTTCTCCGCTTATGAAAATTATCAAATGGGTTATTTACCTGACAGTGCTTGGAAAAGTGTGAAATATTTCCAAGATGCACCACAGCATTATAACTGAATGGATAAAAAATCTCATAGTCAAAACTACTCATGCAAATCCCATAAAGTAACAGCATACATGGTTTAGCATACATTGATATACCCCATACAGTAACATACCTGTATAAAATGTGTGATAATACTGTCACATAAATGACAAAGGTTTTCAGAAACACAGAGGTGGTAGAGTGAAAACATGCCCGTGGTTGTGTTCACGCCAGGCGAATCTGTAGGAATGTAGCTCCTGAAAGGAAAGAGTTGTATTAGGAGCACATCTATATACATTGTTGCCAAAATGTGGTCACTCCTTGTAAACACAGTCACTCATTCATTCCACAAATATTTATTGAGTAACTACTATGTGCCGGCAAACAGACTGGGGATTCAGTGATGGACATTCTCTTGGGGAAGATCATAAAGAAACATACATAAAATAAGATGTCGGGTAGAAAACAATGTTATGGGAAAAATACGGCAGAGTCCCGGGCTAGAGAAAGACGGGGTGGTGCTTCTTGAGAGCGGTCAAGGAAGTCGTCCCTAAGGTTTGAGCAGAGACTCAGATGCATCTGGTGACAAGGCCAAAAGATGATGCCCGATACAGTGAGGGGAGCAGTCCCCATGCCACAAGGAGGCATTGCAGAAGCTGAAGAGGTCCCTTGTGGAGAAGGGGACCAGTCCTTAGGTAGTGTGATATGACAGCCGCCTTTACAAACTGGAAGACTAGTCACATAGAACAGTGACTTTCAAACGGTTTGACTGTGACCTGTGGTTAGAAATACATTTTACATTGTGACCCAGCACACACACCTTCATAGCAAACACATTTAACAAAAAAACACAGGCTATGACCTGCATTTTGAAAATCACTAGTGTGGAAGAAGAGTGAGCCTTATTCTGAGCTGATTTGAAGGGTTGGAATTAGGATGAGTGGAGAGAGAGAGAGAGAGAGAGAGAGAGAGAGAGAGAATAGAATAGAATGCTTTGGTACAGATAGGGACTTTTTACAATTAGAAATACCCAACAGTGAACCACCTCAAGAATTTTTGAACGGAGTTCTAGGGAACTGCAACATTCTGGGAAAATTCAAGACAGTTCAATATAAAGAACATGAAAGGGCAAGCCTCCAACTGGGAGCAAATATTTCCAAAACATATATATAATGAAGGGCTTGTATCCAGAATATATTAAGAACTTTCACAACTCTGTAATAAGATGACCCACTTGTTTAAAAAAGGGCAGAAGATTTGGATGGACACTTCACCAAGGAAGGTAAACAGATGGCAAATAAGCACATGAAAATATACAAATTAAAGTAACAATGAGATACTGCTATAGAACTACTAGAATGAATAAATTAATAAGATCTATCAGGAAAGTGTTAGTGAGGGTGCGTAGAAAATGGAGGAAAAGACCAATGCATGCAACAGTGGGGAAGAATCTCCAAAGCACTGTGCTAAGTGGAAAAAACAAAAGACACAGAAACAGTGCATACTGTATGATTACATATTCATGACATTCTAGAAAAGGCACCAACTGTGGCCAAAAGCAGGGCAATGGACGCCAGGCACCAGGGTTGGGAGGGTATCCTCTGCAAAGAAGCACAGCACACTTTGGGGGCTGATGGATATATTTACATGTGAATTGTGATGGTATTGAACACCATTTTAAACACTTGCCAAAATTTGGAATTGTACATGTAGAACTACTGGATTACATCATATGTAAATTATCTCAATGAAGATACGTTTATAAAATGCAAGCCTCTGAAAGCTCTGGAAGCAGCACCAGCTGTGAGGGCTTTCAGAGCTCCCCCTACCGGCGCTGAGAGCGGTGTGCTTGCGCCTCGAGGGCAGAGAGCCTGGAAAACCTCAGCCTCGCCCGCGGGTTTTCGCGGTCTGTAGGGAGAACAGAACTCAACGTGATTAACGGAACGATGGGAAATGATCCCTACCAATGCTGTCTTCTGCTGTTTCAGGTGCCTGGAAGAACATGTCGTAGTGGGGTTTTTCATCAGATGAAACACGACACAGAACTTTGCTAATAAGATGGACATCTCCACACAGAAAGACAGACAGCCTGGCCAAAAATATTCCAGAATGGTCAGCAAAATACAGAAAGGTCTAGTGAATTTAATAACAGGTGTCTTGGGGGGGGAGAATTTTATAGTTGTATCTAAATATATCCATTTATACTCATCATTCTATATTTTATACAGGATCCGGCAGAAGTAACCCCTGCTTGAGTGTGGTTGGTAGGGTGATAACATGGGTGTAATAATTTACAGTTTTAATTTGAACATTTCACCTAAAATGTCATATGGTGTGCTTGAGTGTGATATTGTTCTGTTACAGAATTACATGCTTATGTTGCAATACAAATGGGAGGGGGCATTATTTGAGCCAAACCCTGTATTTATCCACACATTTGCTATTTCCAGAGCTTTTTAATCCCTTCACATAGATTCCCAACTGGTATCATTTTTCTTCTGCCTGAAGGAATTCCTTTAACATCTTTTTAAAAAAGGTTTTATTTATTTATTTTTAGAGATATTGGAAGGGAAGGAGGAAGAGAGGGAGAGAAACATCAATGTGTGGTTGCCTCTCACATGCCCCCTACTGGGGACCTGGCCTGCAACCCAGGCATGTGCCCTGACTGGGAATCGAACTGATGACTCTTTGGTTTGAAGGCCTGTGCTCAATCCACTGAGCCACACCAGCCAGGGCCCTTTAACATTTCTTATAGTTCCAGTTTGCTGGTGATTAATTCTTTCAGCTTGTGTGTGTGTGTGTGTGTGTGTGTGTGTGTGTGTGTGTGTGTGTGTGTCTTTATTTTGCTTTTGTTTTGCCAGGTATTTTACCAGGTACAGGATTCTAGGGTGATAGATTTTTCTTCTTCTCCTACCTTAAAGATGTTGTTTCTGACAGTGGTTTGCTGTCTCATATTTGTTCCCTTTGTATATAAAGTGTCTTTTTTTTCTCTGCCTAATTTTAAGGTTTTTCTCTTTATCACTGCTACAGTGTGGTTTTATTCATGTTTCATGTGCTTGAGGTTCATGCATTTTCTTGGATCTGGAGGTCTATAATTTTTATCCAATATGGAAATTTTTCACTTTTTTTCTTGAAATATTTTTTCCCTCTCCCCACATCTTTTCTTTGGAGAGTCCATTGCGTGCATATTAGCCTCCTAGCAGTTGTCACACAGCTCACTGATACTCTGTGTTTTTTAATCCTTTTCTCTCTGTGTTTTATTTGGGGTAGTTTCTATGTCTTCGACTTTACTAGCTTTCCCCCACCCCAACAGTGTGTAATCTAGTATTAATCTCATCTAGTGTATTTTTTAACCCATGATATCTCAGTTTTCATCTATAAAAGTTTGTTTGGGATCATTTTTACACCTTCCATGTCTTAATATGTTAATTGTTTCCATGGCTTCTTGAAGATATCACATACAGCTATTATAGACTATAATATTCTTATAATTCTCATCTGTATCATTTCTGAATTGGTTTCAATGATTTTCTCCTGATGATAAAGTGTATCTTCTCCCTCCTTTGCATGCTCCCTAAGTTTTTACTGGGTGCCAGATATTTTGAATTTGGTCTATGTCTATATATTCTTTGTAGTCCTGTCCATTCCTGTGCTTTATTCCCAGATACACTTAAGGTACTTAGAAACAGTCTGATCTTATGAAGTCTCACTTTTAGCTTTGCCCTTTGGAACCAGAGCAGTGTTTAATCTAGAGATAATGTCACCCTATTTCTGAGGCAGAACCCTTCCTCACACTCTGCTGTAGGTTCTGTGAATTAAGAGGTTGCCCACTCTGGCTTGTGGAACAAGAACTATTCCTGCCCAGGGTGCACTTCAGGCATCATCTGCCTGGTTTCTTTCCGTCGCTTCCTTTCCCAGCCCCGGGTTGTTCCCTTGTGGGCGTGCGCTGGTCAGTACTCAGGACACCACTCGAGGGGACCCCAGCGCCCCTCTTTGGAGCTCTCTCTCTGTGTCACTCTCTCATCTCTAGTTCTGGGTCCTGTGAGGTCTACCCTCTGGGCTTTCTGGGCTCCCAGCTCAGTGTCCCCAACTCGAGGCCGCCAGGCTCCACCTGCACTCCTCCTTCCTGCGCCGCCGTGGCCTGGAAGCTCCTCCAGTGAGCAGGCGGCCTGGGCCGTCTTACGGCAGACCTTACATGTTTCCCATTCCCAGGGGTCCCTGTCCTCTGCTGCTCGGTGTTCAGTGCCTTGAAAATTATTGTTTCATATACTTGGCCCATTGTTAACTTTTTTTTTTCCAGCTAGGAGGGCAGATCCAGTCCCATTTTGGTTGGAAATGGAAGGCCAGTTATGTAGAGTGTTTTTTAAAAATCCTGTTTTTTTGGTGGGTCTCATGGAGGATTGCTTTGACACCCGCTGCCCCACCACAGCCAGGAGCTGAAGTGTTTGATCTCCTTTTTAGTTCAGGAGAAGCCTTTCCTTCCGCCAGTGGAAAGCCCTCCCTTTGACCTTTTTAAACAAACAAACAAACAAACAAACAGCCCCCCCCACCCTCTCTTTACTGCCTCCTCTGCAAACTCAGCTGTTCTACTGACTTCGGTTTTTAGACACAAAAGCTAGAATACCTTGCATCTACTGCCTTCTGATTTGCTCCCTAGCTCCCTTAAAGAAAACACACAAGCAGCCACCTACTTAAATAGGCGAGGGAGGGAGAAGGGAGGAAAAGAAGAAATCTACCGTAGACAGATACTGCCGAATGTTTTCTAACCAAACATGTCTTCTGCTTCTTCTACTTGTTTCATCCAGAGCCCAGGCACAGGAGGCTGGTTCGCTGCCTCCCAGTATTTCATTATTCATTCATTCATTCATTGTCTGTGAGCCGGGCTCAGAAAGAGGGGGTGCAGCTTAGAGTTTAGGAGCCTGGGCTCATCAGACAGGCTGTGTTCGAACCTCAGGTGCTGCTCTGTGAAGTGCTGCTGTGTGATTAACGAGCAGCTTCACCTCTCTCGGCCTCCCGTCTGTAAAGCTCGTTGGTAACGGTGCCTCCCGAGGGGCCCCCCATTGGCATTGGGCTCCCCTGTCTGAAAAGCGGTTTTGTTTTCTCAAAAATTCAGAGACCAAGAAATGGGCCTTCAAGACAGTGTTCATGCAACCTCACCCCCACCCCAACACATCCCTTCTTTCTTTCTCCTGGCTCTCTGAGCTCATCAGACACACTGTGTTTGAACCTCAGGTGTCGCTCTCCTTCTCAGCACGCACACGTCTTCTCTCTGAGGGGAGGGGTCGAGTGCTGGGGTAGCTTGGTTGGCTGTCGTGGACATGCTGCAGTCCGCAGGGCGTCCACCCCAAACCCGGCTTGGATGTCAAGACCGATGGTGCCACACACACATCGAGGGCTGTGAGAAGGTTTATTGCCCATGTAACGAGCCTTTCTGGGGCAGAGCAGGGCAGGCTTCCTAATCTGGCCCGACAGCAGACAACAGCGTGAGAGGGCAGGGAAAGGAGACCAACCTGGGGCTCTCCTGGGGTCAGGAGGTGGGGCTGGAGAGAGGGCCGGGGTTGGCTGAACTCCTGGCCGGTGCCACAGGAGGGAGCATCTGGGCCTTTCCTCAGCTCACCCAGATGTGGGGCAGAAAAGGGAGAGGGGCGGGTGAGGCTTAAAAGCTCTCAGCAGTCAAACACTAAAAATGGGAGTCAGGTTCCCTCACACTCTCAGGGCAGAGTTTGCGATCAGCCTGGTGTGCAGATAGAGGCTGCTCGCGAAACCAACACCGTGGACGTTCTCCCATACGTGGGGAGCAGCAGGAGGGAAAAGGGGGATTTTATATACCTCACAACCCAGGTGTACACAATCATAATTTGATTTCCTATAAATGATGCCCTTCTGCTTTTTTTAACCCCGCATCTGCACAGAGAGATAAATTTATCCTGGTTTGCACGGTGCCCTGAGAGTGAGAGGGCCCCCCTCTGGGAGTCCCCTGCCCCCCCGGGGCCTTATGGCGCGTTGCTGATGCGTGACTCCCGCCCTGGGATGAGTGATGGTTTTGCGTCCCCTTCCTGCTTGGCAAGGACGCCTTCCCTGTCAGCCCTCCCTCTTCCCTGGGACAATTCATGTCCACTGTGTTACCCAGTCTCGCTAGTTTAAGAGCTGGAGGGGGAAAATTCCAAAAATTTACCAAGAAAGAAGAAATAAATTAAAGTGGGGGATACTTTTAAAAAAAAATCCAGTTTTATGTTTATTTCTTGTCAAAAGGCAAGGCTCTCCTCTGTTCCATTTAAGATAAGACATTAATATACAGCTCTGTGTTTGCTGCCTTTCTCAATTCTTTGTTCCGTGCTGATTTTTGTTTTATTTTTGTTGTTCAGGTTTTACTGCTGCATATCCAACACAGTCCTCCATTCCTGTTAAATATAAGTCTCCAATAATTCCAGAATCAGAAAAAAAAGGATTCAATAGTCAAACCAAGAGATTTTATCATAAGACGGTAATGACATTGTCTTATTAGAGATTCTCTGTATTTAGTTCGAATTTAGTCTGTCCTTGGTCAGGCAGGCAAGCCTGGCTGGTGCGTCTGTCCCCGTGACCAGCAGAGGGCAGTGTTACCCAAGGAGCCACAGCAGCCCCGCCAGCTGTTCTCTCTCTGGGTTGTAAGAAGGAGCTGGACCAGGCTCGTAGGCACAGACTGTGGGCTGGTTGCCAGAGCGCAGGGGGTTTGGGGGTCTGGGTGAAAGAGGCGATGAAGGGATTGAGAAGTACAAATTAGCAGTTACAAAATAGTCACCGGGATGTAAAGTACAGCATGGGGAATGCAGTCAATAATATTGCAATAACTATGTGTGGTGCCAGGAGGGTGTGGGCACTGGAAGTATCCGGAAGCAGGGGGTGGGGAGGGGGGTGGACTTTGTCAAGTATAGGATCGTCTAACCCAGCGATTTTCCACTGGTGAGCCACTAGAGGCGCTGGTGCGCGGCGGGAACTGTTCAAACGGCAGCGCCTGACATTTTAGTTGGGGACACTGACCTCTTTTCCCTCTTCGATTGTCACGTAACAAAATGGCAACGGTCAACACAGCAATAGTGGTCCAATGTGAGTGAATCAAAGTTATTCCTATTCTTGGTCAAATTGGCAAAAAATATATTTTTTGGTGTGCTGCGGAATTTTAGTAATTAGTTTTTGTGTGCCGTGAGATTAAAAAAAAAGTTGACAATTGCTGGTCTAACCACTATGCTGTGTGCTTGAAACCAATACAAAATTATATTGAAAGTAAAAAAAATGAAGAATTTAAAAAAGTGGTCTGAAAAGATATTAAATCTAGGGGAAGCAACATGTCAGGACTTACGGTGCTACACTGGACCAAAAAAGAATTTTTTAATAAGAAATTTATTTTAAAATTATTATAGAGATAAAACATTAAAAACAATCCCAGAGATATAAGTAAAAGGTAAAAATCTTTTCCTATTTCTCCCTCAGCCTCTCTCCTTATAACATGAAAGGAAGTAAGATTTTCTTCAAATAACATAAAAGGAAAAATAAGAGTCTAATAAATTTAAGATGACCTTTGTGATGAGGGCCCCCTCTTTTTTTAGACTTCTTTTAACAGTGTGTTATAAGGAACAATGTGTTTAACTGTTCCTGCACTTCCTCCATTCTCACTCTCTCCCCCAAATATCTGTGTCTCAGATCCTCTTTGATCTAGAAAGTTCTGCTTGGCTCCTGAGGGATCCTCGCCTACCTGGGAATTTCGTCTGCTAAAGGATTGGGGAAATCTGACCTTTCCTCTCTCACCAGCAGGGGGCGCAAGCAGCTTGCAAACGTTTTGAATTTTCTTTAAAATCTTCATTCCTTTACTCATTTGACCAAGACCTTTAGAATAACTTTTTTTTTTTTAGTAATCATGATCTCGGTTACCTTTTGCCACATTCTAAAAATGCTTTTCATCTCACCATCTTGCCAAGACGGTGGAGAGGGAATGGGGCGATCTAGGTTCTGAATGAATGCCAGTGAGTCAGGAAGGAGTTGGGGGGCCGCCCCTTTGCCCCTCGCCTGTTCCTCCTCTGTAAACAAGAATGCTGAACGAGAGACCACTTAAGTCCCTTCCACTTCTGGTACTCTAGGGTTCTAAGAAAGCAAATAATAAAGACTATAGTGTGTGTGTGTACGCACTCTCACACACATACATATTTTTAATTACTTGTAGGGTTTCCGCAAAGACGATAAATATTTGCTTAAGGTTTTCTCTCTTCTCTCTGTAGTATCTCTGTGTTTTAACTGTCCAGGTGTTTGTCCCCTTGTTTTGGTCTGGTTTCCCATTTGTTAATTTAACAATAACATATTGTCCACCTCTAGGGCGTTTGCAGCCCAGCTTCCAATAAAAATAATAGCAGCCACCATGGGGTGACTGAACCCTACTCTGGGTGAAATCATTTTGAGACCACATCTCTAATCCTCAGGACAATGCTACAGGGAAGGGTTTATTATCTTAACAGAAGAGGAAACCGAAGCTTAGGGAAGTTAAGTGACCCGCCCAAGGTCACAGCACGCGGGGTTTGGCACAGAAGAGGCCCTACATAAATATTTGCTGAATCAGTCGAAAGATTTAGACCTCAAACCCAGGTCTAGCTCCCCCCAAAGCCTCGTGCCCTTGCCACACACGGCACCACCCCTCCCTTTGTGGCCGCGAAGCCGCAGATCTGATCTCTGGAAGCCGATAGCATGTTTCTGAAGAGGACTGAGCAGAACAGACAGGAAGCTGTCAAGTGGTGGGCGCGAGTCTCCATCCTACGCGACCTAGTGCCGGAGATGCACACACAGAAATGGAGTGGGCCGGCTTTTAAAGCCAGCGCCTTAAATTACTATTGGCTTTCAGAAAATTTCTGCTGAAGGGACCACGGTCACAGCCAGCCAAATCTGTAGGCAGTGTCCACTATGGAGAAATAGCTCAGGAATTTGATTCATACTTTTCGAATACAGTTGCATTGGTGTGACACGAGAACGTCCACCGAAGTGTTTGAAAGCATCTGGTAAACAAGTACGGAAGGTTGTGGAAAGGGCGAGAAGTCCCCACATCGGTTCCCCGTGTCCTGTTCTGTCCCCGCCTGCATGCCTTCAGTCAACTGGCTTTCCTGGGCTTCAGTTGCCTCATCTGAAGCATAACCCTTGGATGATATAATTTTATTAGGCTCTTCGAGCTATAAACACAGGAGAAAATGTCTTATTCTATGCTCACGCTTCTTGTCTTTCCTGAGGGAACTGGACACGGCAAAGTGTAGGATCTTGTTCAGCATCACCCCATAATTGAGGGAGGCAATGCGGAGTAAGAACAGAGTTTAAAGCTCCGGTGTCTCACCCGCCCTTCTTAAAACTGCTCGCACACACCCTGGGCCTGGTCTGGTGACTTGGCTACGGCCTCACATTAATGCTGTGACCCACTTAGCACATCTACCAAGGTCGCCCTTTGAAATGCACTCTTACCTTATCAGCCTGACTTTGCAGGAAACGCCAAGGCCTCCTCGCCCAGCTCACCTTCCCCGTAAGAGTCTGACTTCTGGGCGCAAGGAACCCTTCACGGAGCTCAGGCTCAGGACTGGCGGCGGCTCTGGCTGCTGGAAGCGAAGTCTGCTTCCTGATCGTGTCACAGTTATTTACGGGTGTGCTGGCGACTCTCGTACGTGAAGGGACATGTCTAATGTGAGCCCAGGAGCCCGCTGGACATTTTCTGCCCCCACCTCCCCGGTCCTGTCCCCGGGTCACCCTGGACTGTGGTGACTGTTTCCCAAGCCGTGTCGCACTCAGGACACCCACTTAACGTCTTGGCATCTGTTTCCTCATCCCCAAAATAGGGATGTTATCACGGGTCGGCCCTCTCCAGGGATCACTGTTCTCCGGTTCCAAACCTGACTGATCCCTCTGGGCTCAAATAAACAAGCAGTGGTAGGATGTGGGCTCCGCACCCTCTGCCGGGCACAACTTAAAAAATACACGTCAATTCCATACACAGCCTGACGGTCAATCTACCCTCTCAAGTGGTAAGCCGGTGAAGTTTTGTGAAATTGTATGAAGTTAATACTGTTCACTCATTAACTCACCCAAGACACCGGACTGGGGGTATTTTGCATGTCAGGGATATTTAAATGAAAATAAGCTGACTTTGCACAGGCCACCATGTTCAAGGGGATAAGCACCCCAAGTGTGCACTCGGTTGCATGTCAGAGCCACAGCGCCCCGCTCTGGACGCCTGGCTTCTCTGCCTCAGTCCCAGGGCCTTGCTAAGGGGCCTGCTGGGCATACCCCCAGAAACAGCAGGCACCGGCTGGCACTGCAGCGAGCTGGGCTCCCCTCAAAGACCTTTGCAGTCTTTGGGGAATGCATTTAGTCCCCATCACAGCCCTGTGAGTTGCCTCCCATCATTGCCCCCACTGTCCAGATAATGACCCTGAGACACAAGGAGGGTTAAGTAACTTGTGCAGCCAGGGTCCAGGCAGAGTGAGGACGATCCCAGGCCGCAGCTCCTGGTCCCCAGACGCTGTACCCCAGCGGCTCCCCTGGGTGAAGGCCAGTACACTCTCCTCTGAACTCCCCAAGCCAGTCTTACACTCCTGATCGCCGTCTGCTTGGCCTGAAGGTAGAGGGTGTGCACGTTTTATCTCCACCCGAAGTACGAAGTATGAGCTGGACAAAATCTATGCCAGCAGGACTAGGAGGTCCAGGCTGTGTGCGGGCATCTGCAGCTCCAGGCTGTGGGGCAGTGATCCCTCCCACAGCCCGTGGAGATCTCTGGGGCGAGAAGGGAATGCCCTGCTCCCTCTTCTCCTCTCCTCCTCGTCCCTCTCTCAGCCTGCCCTAAGGCCAAGTGAATGTAGGTCTGCGTCTCACCCTTGGCACATGCAGCGGCTGCCTGTTTGGGACTGTAATCCTTCCAATGAGCTCTCACAGTGCATTGCAACCAGACGTGACCCCTGTTCGTGCATTTGGTGGGAGATGGGAGTGCATCAACCTGTCACCCTCGCTCAGACCACCCTGGAGGTCTGCAGCGCGCCAGGGAAGGTCCACGGAGGCTGCCGTGGGTGACACAGAGAGTAGTAGTGACAATGACAGTGGCCACACACACTGGCACTGCTGTGATCTCTCTCCACACTGTGACTCCTTTAATTGTCACGCTGAGAGGCAGGTGCGGGAGGCAGTAGCCATGGCTGCTGTCAGCAGAGCTCAGCAGGCACTCACTAGAGCCCACAGAAACAGTTCTCGCCCCTTCTCCCTCCCCACACCCAGTTTTGTTTTGTTGGCTTATTTGTTTTTTTTGCCCTGTGGGGTAGTGTTGGCCAAGAGACTTCGGGGCTGGCCAAGTGCATGCCAGTGGCAGGTTGAGCTCTTGTTCTCTGGGTTGTGCTCTGACAGCCCTCAGCTCCCCCGCGTCACACGGCATTAGTCACGTGACTGTTAGCTCAGGATTTTCCTCGCCCTCCCAGAGAGCTGTCTCCAGCGGTTTTGGGAGAAGGCTTGGATCCTCTGCAGCTGAACAGTTCCCTTCACACAGCTTAGAAGCCTACGTGGGCGTCACGTGAAGCTGGCAAGCTGGTACATTAGCTCTCCTCTCCACCAGGAAAAGCTCTGATTTGTAGCATCTGCCAATTTCTGTGGTGTAAAGACTCTCACCTCTGGAGTGTTAACAGTCGCCCTCGCAGGCTGCCATGTGCTGCCGCCTGGAGCACTCATCTCGGGCATCCGTTAGAGCGAACAGGCCGCAGTTCCCTCTCCAGGCGGAGAGCGACTCTCCTCTTCTTATCTGGCCTGGACTCAAACCAGTTTGCAACGTGCAGAATTAAAATGTGATTAAGGCCCAGTAGGGTCGCATATTTAACAAAACGAAAGTACAGGATTCCTAATTAAGTTAGAATTTCAGACAAGTAACAGAACTATTAACAGAGACACTATTAACAGAGACACTATTTTACAAATGTGTCCTAAATAGTGCACGGGAATACTTATACCAAAGTAGCTTTTGCAGTGTATTTAAAATTCAAATGCACGTGGGCAGCTCTGCAGGTCTTGTATTTTATCTGGCAACCCTAGCTCCTCCAACACTACAGGGGCCCGGAAAATTCTTCTGGGCTGATGGCCATGTTGAGAGTGTGGCGATGGGCTGGGAGGTAGGGATGTGTATCTTCACTGTTCACTCCTTAAACCTAGAGGAGAAGAAAGCAAAACAAACAAAATGAACCTAGAAGAGTCATAGTCACAGTCTCTGCTTCAACTTTCCCTTGGTTTGGGGACGTCGAAAGCCCACAGGCACCCAAAGGCATTTAGTCCAACATCTCTGATTTACAAAGGAGGGAAATTAGGTCTAGGGAGGGGACTGGTTCAAGGTCGTCTCCGCTAGCAGCGGCCCTGGGAACAAGAATTCCTGATTCTTAGCCCAGTGAAAGTGTGTTCTTTTATCCTGCACACTCAGTGTGGAAAGCAGACTCTGCACTCAGACTGCCTGGGTTCAAATTATGACTCTGACAGTTACTGGCTCTGAGACCTTGGGCCTGAACCTCTTTCAGCCCCTGCTTCTCATCTTCCAAACGGGGAGGAAAGGAGCCAGTGCGTGGAAAGTACTCAGGACAGTGCGCAGCACACAGTGACCCCTTGATAAATAAATGCTAGGCCCGCACATAGCGCCCCTAGAAAAAAACTCTTCCTTGTTTTCCTGTAGCCCCTCGATCTGCACCCCCCGCGTGCCGGGGCTTCTCTGAATGGGGTCTGGGGCGCTCGTGACCCCTGTGGTGCTGCATCTCCCACGGCCGCCTCGCTCTCCCCGGCAGCCAGTCCTGCCCTGTCCCCCAGGGGTCATCTTCATGTACAAGACGGCAGCCAGCTCCCCTGCCCCCATCCGCAAGGCTCTGAGGATGCCCTGCATTTAAAATTTGGCACGGAAGAACCTGTTAATAGTGCAAATGGCCTTATGTTTTATATGAAATCATAGTCACATACTGTTCAGGCCAGAACGGAGGAGAGTCCTTAAAGGCCCTGGTGGTACCATGAGCTTCCGCTCTGCCCCCGGGAAGGGAGTAGGAACGGCACAGACAGCAGAGTGAGCCCGCGTGGCCGAGGTGGGAGAGGGTGAGCTCTGGGGTCGTCATTTAGTTGCTGCGGACTCCGTGTCTCTGGGTCTCCTTCTCCTTAGAGCGGGCCCGATCGTGCCCCCACGGCAAAGGACCAGTGTACACCCTGCGCTTAGCACTGATTCAGGCACCACCCGAAGGTGCCACTGAGCTCGGGGGGACCGTAGGCAAGTTCGTCTCCACAGGCTGCAGTGTCCCGTCTGTTAAGCGCGGGCAGTAGTCCCTTCGGCCTCGGAGGGTTTAATGAGACAAGCTCTGGAAAGCCCCTGGCACCGCGTCGGCGCCCAGTAGGCCCTCAAGACAGAGCAGCATCCTTATCATTTCACGCTCCTTGCTGGGCCAGCCTCTGTCAACATCGACTTCCCCTGGTGACGAGCATGGGCGAGGAGAGGAAGGTTCCATCAGCGGCTACGGCAGGAATAAGCCTCGAAATCAAACTTTTGTTTATTTATCCCTCACGTACCGTGTCGTTCAGCACCTGAGCCCCGTGCACCTGCCTCTTTTTGTCTGAGAGTTAGAAGCGGCCTCGTTCGGGATGAAGGCTGTTTTCGTTTCATTTTGCTTCATAAACAGAAACACTCCCTGATTTCTCTTCTGAAAGGCTGAGGAGGAAGCTGAGTCAGGTGAGGTGTGGTTGCGTGGAATCGGCTCCGCTCCCCTCCCCTCCCTGTGGGCTCGGCTTACCCAACCGACGTGCGCAGCCCTGCACCTCAGCCACCCTTAGTATCCCCTTTTATGCTCATTTCTCCCATGGCGGAAAAACAGCAGCAATGTAGCACACAGTAAGCAGGAAGAGCGAGGGCTTTGGGGGTCCCAGCCCCAGCGCTCGGAGGCCGTCTCGGCAGCTGGGCGGGTCAGCGGGTGCGGAGCCCGGCTGGCACGGTGACGTGGGGGCGGTGCCTGTCCTGGCGGATTACGGCGAGGCTCAGCGTCAATGGGTGTGGGGCCTGGGGAGAAGCACCCTGGAACCGAACGCGTCCCGGTGACGCCACGCACTCTTTCCTTTCAGGATGACATCCCGGGTCCTGGGTTCTACAACGTCACTCACCAGTCTCCGGTGTCCAACAGCGTCTCGCTGTCCAAGAGAGGGACGTGCGCTTTTCCCTCCATGGTGAGCCCCCTTCTCTCGAGTACGGGCGGTACCCGATCAGTGGTTCCCTTCATGCGTTGCATAATCGCGTATTGGACAGCTGGGGCCTTCTGTCCAAAGGCCCGTGGTTCCAACTAGGAGGGTAAACGCCTCCCCAGGTTTCATGCGGGTAAGTTAGAGCCCGTGTCTTTAATCCCCCCTCCCCCATCACTACACATCGCCGGAACCTAATCATCCAAAATCAGTTTTGTCGTTGTCATGGAGCAGACGAAGCAAATGTCTTCCTGAGACTTTTAGGCAAACCAGAGAAAAGCTATTATTATTATACACCTCGCATTAATGTGATGCTTTACACTGCTTAGACTAATTGGATTATTCAAATGATTGAGAAATCCGTCGGGACCAAAAAGAAGGCAGGCAGCGGGCCTCACATTTAGCAATGCTCCTCCCCTCCCTGTTTCTCCTCTTTGTCAGCCGTGGCTCTTCATCTCCGTGGAGGGCTGACAGTCAGGCAGCTCTAGGGAGTGTCATCGTCCTTGGCCAGGCTTGGGCAGAGGTAGCTTTTATTTGAATATTTATAGTTGGAAAAAAAAGATGTAGCAAGGGAAAGGGTAAGACTGATTAAAGTAAAAAGGTAAAAAAGAAAGCAAACCCAAACCCTAGTATTAACAAAACACATAGGCCGTCTTTCCCTTTAAAAGTTATAATAATCTCTTGCAAAAATGTATTATGATGCCTGACATTGGAATTGATTTTCAAACACACACACACACACACACACACACACACACACACACACACACACACCATTGAAGACGCACTGGATGGGGCTACGTATCAGAATTCAAATCTGGCGGAGCTGCGTGCTCCGGGGGCGCACCGGCTCCGAAGCTGCCTCGCGTCAGCAGCGCCGCCGACGCCGCCGAGGCTGCGCAGGCCCCGCACCGCACAGAACAACAGGCCTCCACCTCGGTGTCTGCCCTGAGCGCCGAGAGTGAAGAGACTCAAAAGCGACGAGGGAAAGAAGTGCCTTGTGTCATGATGTCCTGGCACAAGACAGGAGACCGAAGACCTGACCCCGGCTCCCTGCTGTGGGTCCCCCGACGTGACCTCCGGCACGTCGCCCTCCTGGGCTGAGTCGGCTCATAAAGCGGAGACGCCCCGGAGGCGCTGGGCACCTCCACATTGGCAGGAGTGGAAAACCCTTTGAAACTGCAGAGCATTGTAAACAGGTTAAATGTTATGATTGTTACCACCTGAGTCACTAACACTACTTCCTGCAACACCTAGGTTTTCTCTGTGAACTCCTTTGCCAAGTAGTGGCACTGCCCATTCCCACGTGGTGCCAGAGAAGGGGCTGAATCAGAGGACGCACGTGGCCAGTCCCGGCGAGGCTCTGCGTGCAGTAACTTTCCAAAGGAGGCGGTGGCGCTGTGGGGAGGAGCCGCAGCCCACGCGCGGGTCCGAGGACCACAGAATCGAATCAGGCCTTACAGATCTTGAAAAAATTCAAGCCAAACCCAAAACAAGGCAGACACTGGGCTGTTCAGGCTTCCTCTCTCCTCCTTGATGGATGTGAGAATTTACATTAGTGTTTATAAACATTTCAGTTTTTATATCTGTGGGGGGGGGCCCCACCCTGACCTGGTTCCTTTCTGAGCCGGCTTTGAGCTCCATACCGCACCCCCTCTGAGTGACGGTCGCCTCTAGCAACTCCTCCATTTCTGGACCTGACGACTCTGAGGGAGTCAAGAGTGGCCCTCCTCAGGGGGAAATCTGCCTTCCTGACACTGGTCCCACCAGCAGGAGGGCCACCGTGGGTGGGGCTGGCCAAAAAAAACTCCGGGTCTGTAAATCTGAGACACTTCCTGGTGAGTCCTGGAGCGGCGACACCCAGCCTTTTCAGAGGACCTGTCATCCCGCTCCGTCCACACTATACATGAACTTCATGAATTGTCCCGCATCTCCGTTTGAGCATTACTCACAGGACTAGGGAGGTAACCGAGGCAGGTGGGAGGGGACTCTGATGGCCTTTCCATGTTTGCATGGTGTCGGGAGTGGTTCTAGAAAAGGCCGTGTGTGTGGCCTGTGCTGTGTGGCCACAGCAGAGGCCACAGGCCTGGCGGTTAAACGAAAGCCAGGGGCAGGGAGGCTGCTGAGGGAGTGTTACTTCAGCTATATGCTCCGAGACAAAGTACAATGCTTTACAAAATACGACCTCTAATTGGAATGTTTTAGAACAGTCTTTCCCAAACTGTATGTAATTAGGTTTTCTAGGCCAAAAAGATTCTATGGTTCAGTAAATTGAATGAAGTCTGGACAGGTTTCTGTATTGCAGACCATCTCAGAGCATTTAATATGTCAGTGTTTACCATGAATCTTCACAACGGGAGCACGGAATGAGATATGCAAATATCTTTGACTCGCAAGCTCTGCCCCAGCTGCCGCCGCCACCAGCGTGACCTTACCTTCTGGAGCTGGCGTGCCAAGGAACGCACCCTGGGAAATGGTGCTTCGGAAGCGCGTGCTTGCCCACTCTGCCGGGTGGCTCGGGTGGCACCACCGAGGAGGCTTTGACCTCACCCCCCTCCTTCCATGGAAGTTGAAAAAAAAAAGAGCAAAGGTATGCGGATCTCAGTGGGCAGAGGAGACTAGGGCAGTGATGCTTCTTGAACTAAAACCTCCCACTGTTCATCGGCTGCTCCTCTCGTAACCGACCGCACGTGCTGCTCTTGCTCCTCTTGACCCGCTCTCTTCGGAGCCGGGCGCCTGGGCCATGTCACATGGTGGAGGCAGCCTGCCTGGCTGAGGATGCTGGTTCTGCTGCCTGACCAGCTGAGGAAGCTGAGTTTCCTCATGTAAACGGTGAGGGTAATCATAATATCCACTACCCAGGGTTGCCCTGAGGAGTACACGCAACAACCCATGAGAACTGCTCAGTTAACTATTGGCCAAAATGCAGAGGCAGCCCTGGCTGGTGTGGCTCAGTTAGGTGTGGTCCCACAAAGCAAAAGGTCTTCGGTTCGATTCCCGGTCAGGGCACACGCCTGGGTTGTGGCCAGGTCCCGGTTGGGGCATGTGCAAGAGGCGACTGATTGATGTTTCTCTCACACCTTGATGTCTGTCTCTCTCTCCTTCTCCCTCCCTTCCCCCGTCTCTAAAAATAAATAATAAATAAACAAAATGCAACGGTGGAGTGAGTGTGAGGCTGGGGCACCCGTACTTCTGAGAACATCAGTGAGTCCGTACAAGCGGGAGAAGGCGGAGGTGGGACTGAAACCCAGCGTAGACTCTGAGCAGCTGAGACCCTGGACAAGAATGGTCCTGCTCCTGGAGGCCCATCCCCACACACACATGGGAGTCCTTGAACCTGGTGTTGAGAGGTGTAGCCAAGCGGAGCTGCCACCAAGCAGAGCCAGAGGAGCTGAGGGGGGCCTTCCCACCACCTCCCTCACTGTCTGTGCTCATGCAGTCTCTCACCCCGCTGAGCCGAGGGAACCCGGGGCAACGTTCCTCAGCTTTTAGCCAGAAAACAGTGAGAGATATGGGGCTTCGCTGCGCTCCAACCCTAGCCACACTGTCCCAGGGTGAAGTGATGTTATCACCTAGTTTCTATGGCTTTTGTCCCTTTTCATTTGGCAAACATTGACTGATTCTGTTTGCTTTTTTTTTTTTTTTTTTTTTTACTAAAAGTAGTTTATTGTGGCTTCCTGGAAGAAGTGGAATTGGTTCCGTTGAGACAGCAAAAATACTGCAGCGTTTTATGGAATCGGTAATGAGGTGGGGACAGGAGGTGCGGTGGACAGCAGTCTCTCTGGAGCCTGGGACCCAGAAGACGTGAGAAACAAACGCGTTGTTGAGACAATTCAGATCATTTAACCTTAGAAATAAGGCAGGTGCTTCCTTCTGAGGAGAAGGAAAGCTCCGATTGGAAGAAGAAAGTCTACAGGTTCCATCTTATAAATTACCCAACAGCTGGTGGTGAGTCAGCTGTAAGTGGCTTGAAGCAGGATTGGGTGAAAATGCGTCTATGGCAAAATTATTTTTGCCAAGTCCTAAACATAGATGAGTAATTTGGTTAGTTTACAGAAGTTCAAACAGGTCTGAACTTGTGTTTTCCCAGAGCAAATCCTCAAAGCCTGATGTCAGTTTATTATTGTTACCTGCTCGAGCTTGACCTTTTGTAAAACGCCTTCAGACCCGGGGCTGGGCACCGTCACTCTGACACCTGCCCTGTGGGGCCACATCACGTGACACTGCTGACTGCTTTGGCTTTCTCCCCGCAGTGTGCCCGACTGGACACCGTCGTTTCCAAGTATCCGGCAGCTAATGCATACACTCTCCCGTCATGTCTGGTCTCCAAGAAAGACTTCAGCAATTGCTATTCCAGAATGTTCCAGTTGCCAAGCTTTGGGAAAGTTCTCAAAACTGAAACTCCTGCACCAAACCATTACAATGTAAGAACATTGTGTACGCTTACTAGACCTATGCTGAAGGAGTGGTTCACTAAAACGAAAGAAGCAGGGACTGGGGGAAATAGTATTTTAATGCCATTGGTAAACCAGGCAGCATCTGTTGGGTACCCAGTGGGTCCATGAGGCTGGTGCAAGACCCTTGGAGGGAATTTACGGAACCCAGAGGAAACTGCGGCCACGCGGAGGCCAGCATGGAGCCCGGGGGGACGGCTGCCCGGGAAAACACTCCCCGGAGTCGCTCCTGCCGGCGTTCGCCCCTCTGACAGGGAGCGTGTCAGTTACCGCTTTACCTGCAGACGCTGTTCGTTTAATTTTTAGATTCCTATAAGGAAAATGAACCTCTATCTTTCCATATCAGAAAATCCAGCTTTTTAAGAGTAGTGCTCTGCCGTTTGTGATCACTTTGCAATCACTGAGGCAGAATGGTATACAATTTGTGGCTTGAAACAAGTTCAAATCTTGACTCTACCACTTTCTAACCGTGTGGCCTCGGGCAAGTGCCCTAACCTTTCAGGACTCAGTTTATTCATCTGTAAAATGGGGACACATGTCTAGCCCATAGCTTTCATGCAAATAGTAAGTGAGGTAATCTGGGCTGAGCACTTAACACACATAAGGCATAAATCGTGCGTGAGGTATCAGTATTGTTGTGCCATATTTCAAAATGTTTTGGTCTCAGATACTTTATTTTTCATTTCCTTTTTCTTCTATAATATTTATAAGTACTTATTTTTCTGGCCACAAAGATCCCGCCCACTTTCTGTGACAGAACCAATCAATCACAATGTGCTCAGAGCACTGTGAGTGGCCGCCAGGCCAGCACCATCCAATAGAAGTGTGATGGGAGACACATACATCATTGGAAATTTCCTGGTAGCCACATTTAAAAGTAAAAAGGAACAGGTGAGATTAATTTTAATAATAATTTCTCTTTAACCCAGTATATTCAAAATATTACATCTAATCAATATAAAATTATTAATTAGATGTACATTTTTCCAGAATACTAAGTTTTTCAAATCCAGTGTATATTTTATGTTTGAAGCACACCTTTTAAAAGGATTTATTTTTAACTACAGTTGACATATAATATTATCTTATCTTGGTCTCAGGCGTACAATATTGTGACTAGACAGTTATGTAACTTACGGAGGGCGTCACCCTAATGAGGCTAGGACCCATCGGACACCACCGGGCAGCTCATCTTGACCTGGACCAGCTGTGTGTCCCCTGCTCAGAGGCCACCTGTGGCCAATGGCTACTGTGTTGACAGCACAACCCCAGAGAGCCCTCCCCCGGGGTAATCAGAGCCTGAAGATGGTGACGATGACGATGAAGCACTTTGCCTGGCCCCTGTGCTGTCGCGCACTCATCCTCCGGGGCATTCGCAAGAGTCCATGCAGTGGGTTCTCTTATTCTCAGTTCACAGAAGAGGAAACTGATGCTCAGAGAGGTCAAGGGACTTGTCCCAGTGTCGCCCAGCTCGAAGGGACCCTTCGCCCGTCAGTGAGCTCAGGCAGGAGGCCGAGGTACAAAGCTGGGGGGTGGTCAGAGTCACCACGTCCCAGCCCTGCTGGGCACCCCTTCGCGGGTTCCGCGGCTGCCCTGTGCCAGACCACTGATGCAGCGCAGGTCCCACTGGGGAGCTCCAGGCAAGGACTAGTGAACAGACAATAGCTGCGCATGGTGCCCAGCTGGGAGAGAGAGAAACAGCGGAGCCTAAGAAAGAGAGAATGTGTGAGGGGTGGGCGATGACACGCACTGTATCCTGGGTGGTCAGGAAGGGCTCTGAGGCTGGGACCCAAGGACTGAAGGGAGAGCTGGAGCTGGGGGCCCAGCACATGCAACAGTCCCAGGACAGCAAACAGCCTCGCCCCTGGGGAGCTGCCAGAAGGTAGTTTGAGTAGCATTGGCTAGGAGGACAGGGGATCAGGGGATCAGGGGCCAGTTTGTCGGGGCTCTGAAGACCCTGGAGGGAGTGCAAATTTTGTTCTCTGTGTACTGGGAAGCCCTGGAGAGGGCTAGAAGGTGTGGGATGACGTCATCCGGCGGCGTAGTTTTTAAGAAGCCCCCTCCAGCAGCTTTCTGGACCGCAGCGTGGGCTGAGAGTGCACTTTGGAAAACCAGTTAGGAAGCTGCTATGTTAACAGGAGCGAGGTCGAGGCCTGATAATGAAGCAATGGTGAGGATTCTTGGCCATCGTCCCTTTTGCGTTCCTCGCAGAGGCAGTTCGTGTCTCCTGTGTCTGCTTCCCCGCCCCGTGGTGCGCTCCTTCACCCAGCTTCCTGGCTGCAATGCCCGGCGCAGGTCCCGGTATTCAGTAAGCCCGCAATAAATGTTGACAACATCAAAGGAGTAACTCCCCAGTAATTAGTGTACAGTTGTTCATCTAGAAAAGACCATTTCCCAAGTCAGCTCTGTCCTTCTGCCAACCGATTAATTTTAGGTGCATGGGTTTTTTTTTGTTCATTACCATTTTAATGTGGCTCTGAAAATAATACACACTCATCATAAAAGATACTCAAACATTATAGAAACCCATGAACTACAAAGTGGAAGTCCCTTAAAGCTCTGCTCCCCAAAGCAAACCACCATCAAACACCAGGCGTGGTTTCTTTCCTAGTCTCTTCCTCGCCTCCCCTCTCCAGCGTCAGGTTGTGCTGTCCACACTTCATGTGTATTTTATTTTTTTTTTTTAAGATTTTATTTATTTATTTTTAGAGAGGGAAGGGAGGGAGATAGACAGAGAGAGAGAGAGAAACATCAATGTGCGGTTGCTGGGGGTTATGACCTGCAACCCAAGCATGTACCCTGGCTGGGAATCGAACCTGGGACACTTTGGTTCCCAGCCTGCGCTCAATCCACTGAGCTATGCCAGCCAGGGCTTGTATTTTCTACTTAACTACATAACTACACTCCCCCCAAACCCCCACGCAACACAGTAAACCAGCTTCGCTGTCTTTGAGCCGCCCATGGAGCTGTCTTCCTGGTGCAGTGGTGCAATCTCCCAGTGACACACACTCAGCGTGTACAAAAATGCCCTCTTTTCCCGCTGCTTTTCTGACTGGGGGGGTGGGGGGGCGGAGAGCTGCAGTAGTGCTGGGTCTACAGGTGGCTGTTTTCAGACCAGAGAACAATGGTTGCGCCGCCCGGCCAGGAGCAGAAATGCGCTAATCCTGTTAGCCACACTGTGCATTGAGGTCTGCCCGGGCCTTTCTTTGCCCCTGCCCGCCGCACTCCCCACTTCTCCGCTGGAATCCTTCTCCTTGGTTCTGTTATTACTTCCTCTCCGGCAACCTGGCTCCTCTCCCCGTGTCCAGTAATTAGCCCGCGCATCTGATCTCTTTGTCTGCCGGCTCTGCAGGCAGCCCAGCCATCAGGACCCTGGGAAACGCCGAATTCCTCCACCTTTGTCAACACAAAATCAAAACGCCATCTGCATTTCTTGAGAAACATTTTTCTGACAAAGGAGTATCACAGAAAATCAACCCATCCTGGCCCCAGCAAATATTTTTACTCATTCGGTAAATATTCCCAGCCGTCGCAGGAACAGTTTTTATGGTATGCTTTATCTAACGATCCCAGGAGGCTGACTGCGAATTGGCATTTGAAATATTTATGATTCATGTGTAACATAAGAGAGATCTCACGGTTCTTTTTTTTTCCTTCCTTCTGTTATTTTTAGAGTTCCAGCACACTGGACGCTCTCAAATGTATAGTGTGTGGATTGACCAACATTCTTAATTTCTGGTCAGTCCAGAAAAATCAAGACAAGAGCTGTGCTTACAAATCCGATTGTAACCTTACGGCTCATGATTTCCGAGTGTGCCCCAAAGCCTGCTGTTTGCACGGTGGGGAGTCGGGTGCGGGGTGGGGGGCTAAGTGTTCTAAAAGAGTGAGAACCCCAGGGAAAGCAACGAAAATGATTTGCATGTGCAGCGTTACACAGTTTGAAAAAACAAAACAAAACAAAACACTTTGCTGTAGATGATTTCCAGGGACTTCTGTCAGGTAGAAGAGGGATGGTCTGAGCCGTTTACAGAGGAGCAAATTCAAGTTCAGGGAAATTAAACTTTGTGTGCAGGGCCGCCCACCCTGTGCGTGGCGCCGGGAGCCTGGGAGCCTGGCCTGCAGGCTGTCGCTCTGGGGCGCAGGACGCGTGCGGGCGACCCCGGCTCGAGGACTGCTCCAGCTGGCGTGGTGGGGAGGCACCGTCCATGTGGCCTTTCCGCTCATGTCAGTGTATGCTCTGAGAAGGACACGTGTGAATTTGGTTTTGTACCCAAATGTGACCCTCGCCCAGGCACGGTGATGAAGACGGAGGAGGGGAGGCACCGGGCACACCAAGCTGAGTTTGTCTCCCCAGGCCTCCGTCTCGTGCTGCAAGCAGAGGAACAACGTCAGTGCCCGGGCCGGCTTCGTGTCCAAAACCCAGAGAGGATTCTGCACTGCTGCTGAAAGAGCACCTGCCCCAGGTGAGCAGCCGCCTTGCACTGGCCTTGACCTAAGGGCTCCTGTGCAGATCTGAGCTGCGGGCACCCATTTCTTGAGGGGGTCTCTGCAAGGAGCTAGGCCTTGGGGGGGTGGGGGTGGAGGTGGAGGCAGGTGTTGAACCGAGAGGAGAAGGCGGAGCAAAGACCAGCTGTCCCCCTTTCAGGGAAGGGTGGCAGCCTCCTGGAATGTCCCCAGAGCAGCCTGGTTGGTCTCCCCTCTTACCACCGGGCACACTTTCTGGGGACAGCCAGGTGGGGAAGTGGCATCTCCCCTCTGAAGTGTGCACATTCCCGTACTCCAGGCGCCACCGCTGGGGGCACAAGACGCCCAGTGCCCGGGCACTCAGCTGCAGGACTCCTCTCCTCCTCTGCCTGGAGGCGAGGTCACCGTCTAGGCCCCCAAGGGGAGGAAAACAGCCCCGATTGCCGGGCACCCACTCCCTGCCCAGCACCTTCCCTGCGGCCCTCCCACACCCGTCCTCACAGTCCGCACCCCTGGGCCGGCCATCCAGGTGAGGAAACGAGGCTCAAAGTGGGGCAGTGACTTGCTCAGCGCCACATGGCTGGCCAACCTAAGCCAGAGGTGTCTGACTGAGGAGACTGTTCCCTTGTCCTTCCGGTGTGACTTCTTGGGGAGCACATGAGGGCACGCTGGCAAGTGTCTTCCAGGCGTGACTGCGCCCCTCTGGTGCCCCGGCCTCCCCTGACCTCCCCCGCCTCCACCTGCCCACCCAAGGGAAAAGTTTTCAGAGGGGTCTGCAACCCACAAGCACTCACTCTACTAGATTTTTTTCTAATGGGGACAGAAGACCCCAAGGGACCCCTGGGCCCCAGGGGCCCCAGGAGGAACAGGAGGGTTTGCCCCGGCAGTCACGCTTCTTGGAGGGGGGTGTGGATGAAATTGCAGTGCACGTCAGATTTCAGATTTAGGCAAATCCATATTAGAGCTGAGATCAGTCTGCAGCAGAATAACAAAAGCAGCCCTAATTAGGAGGCTAAACCACTGCGGAGCTCCCCGCCTCACCTCATCCTCGGGCCACAGCCCCGCCTTGTTTGTTTACACAGGAGAACAAAGCCAGTGTCCCTGGGGTTTGGCCAGGGGCCTGCCAGGGAGCAGGGGTGTGGGCACCACAGCCAACCACCTGTGCCTGCCCCTTGGGAGGGGACCTGAGGGGCCCCCAGCCCCTGACACCAGAGAATGGGAGGGGGGAGGGAGCACCAGTAGCTGTTAAACTCCTGTGTGTCTGAGGCTTGACGTTCATTGCCTCATTGCTGCCCCCAAACCCCCACCCCTGTAGAGCACGTGATCAGAAGGTGTGAGCTATCACTATTGTTTTATACCCACTTTACAGCTGAAAATGATATTCAGAAAGCAGGAGATGAGCCCAGGGTCCCTTTGGATTTGAACCCAGATCTAGTGGGTTTGAGGCCTGCCTGGTGCCTTAGACACCTCCTCCACCTCCGCCTGCCAGAGACCAGAGCCTGGCCAACCTGCTGCCTGCCAGAAAAAATCTGCTTTGACCTTTGGAAGCAATGCTGGGGCCCCACTTCCCCCGTGGTGGAACAAAAGCAGACGTGAGCAAGGGTGGCACCCCTGCTCTGTGACACCCGCTGCCCCAGGGCCCTGCCCGGGCTGAGGGCCTGGTCGGCCTGCCCCGCCCTCAAGCCTGGGCAAAACGCTCACCTCCCCCCGTTCGCTGGTCGGCTTTTCTAAAGTTGACATGCACCAGCCACAGAGGGAAATGCCTCTGATGAAGTGTCATCCGAAAAACGTGGGGCCCAGAACTGAATCCGCCGCAGGAGCTCCGCCGCGGTGTGAGACAGAGTCCCACGACCCTCAAGAGCCAGAACGTCACCCTCGGCCCTCTCTGAGCCGTGGGGGCAGGAATACCTTTTTTCTTTACTTCCGCCTTTCAGCATTTTGTAATCGAGCATTGCTTTAACCTTTTTGGTAGGGGTAAATGGGAGATGGAACAGAGGGAGAGAGGGGAAAGAAAGAAACAGAAAGATAACATGACAGACATAAACCAATGTTATAAATGCTGCTGGCTGGACATCCGCTTTAAAAAAACCTTAACTATATGTGGGGAACATCTTTTCAAGTTATTAAAAATCCTCCTACAACATCATGTTTAAAACAGATGTAAAGTAAAGAGCCCTGGCTGGCATAGCTTAGTGGATTGAGCGCGGGCTGCGAACCAAAGTGTCGCAGGTTCAATTCCCAGTAAGGGCACACGGCCCCCAGCAACCGCACATTGATGTTTCTCTCTCTCTTTCTCCCTCCCTTCCCTCTCTAAAAATAAATAAATAAAATATTTGAAGAAAAAAACCCCAAAAAACAGATGTATAATAAAGAGGGAAAGGTCTATACGACCTGAAGAGAAACCGGAGCCTATTAAAACAGATGCGCAGTACTCCATGGAATGGCGAACCTCAGGTTAAGGCACACATGCCTTCTAAGGAAGCACAGGCTGTTTTAAACTGATCACTGACACAAATATAGCGGCAGCAAGCGTCCCTGTCGTTCACAACTTGTGTACAATCGAGATTATTTCCTCATGCAGATTGCTTACAGTAAAACTGCTGAGTCAAAAGGGATGTGACATTTGTCACATTTCTGCTATTTGTGATCGAACTGCCCTCAGCACAGGAACAGTCTGTCCTCCTGCTCCTATGAGGCACTGTGTCTTGTCCTCACTGTCCCTGGCTATGACCATCCAAGTAAAATCTTGCTAATCGGGTAGTAATGTTGTTTTTAGTACTTGTGCAATGAAAAGTACATTTTATTTAAAACAAAATTAACTTTTCAATGTTTAGAAAATTTGGAATACTCCCCCCGTGCCCAGAATGCCACCACTATATATGAGGTCTGTCCAGGACAAGTCCAGCCATTGTTAATATAACAAGAACAGTTTGCACCACATCAGTGTAACCTGGCAGCCAAGGAGGGGGGACTGGAATGTGCATGCGTGAACAGTGATGACTTCACTGTTCTAGTCAGTGGTGGCGGTAGATGCCATTGAGTGAGCTTGTGCACTGTGTGGTCGTTGCATTCAAACTGACTGAGTAGAGCAGTGAATCTGTGTTAAGTTTGAACATTCCTCACTGGAAACTATTCAAATGATTCAGAAGGCGGTAGCTATGGGCAACTGGTGATTGGCAGCTTCGTCATGACGATGCGCCTGCTCGTGCATCACATCTCATGCAGAGTTTTTTGGTGAAACATCAAATCACCCAGATGACTCAGCCCCTCTATAGCCCGCATTTGGCACCCTGCAGCTTCCGGTTTTTCCCAAAACTAAAATCACCTTTGAAAGGGAAGAGATTTCAGACCATCAGTGAGATTCAGGAAAATACGACAGGGCAGCTGATGGCGATTAGGAGAACTGTGTGAGGTCCCAAGGTGCCTACTTTGAAGGGGAGTGAGGCGTCATTGCCCTATGTACAATGTTTCTTGTATCTTGTATCTTCTGCAATAAATGCCTCTATTTTTCATATTGCATGGCTGGATACCTTCTGGACAGACCTCGTAATCACTTCCACTTTCCTGGGTGCCTGCCTGTTTTAATTCATTTGTACCCAGATGTCACCACAAAACATATAGACGTTCAGGCTTTATTTTACTTTTTCGCTCACCTTTATTTTCCGAAACTTGGCCATGTGGCCTTATGGTTTTCATATATAGTTTTAAAATTTTATTTTAATCATCGTTCAAGTACATTTGTCTGTCCTTTACTCCCATCCCAGTCCACCCACCCATCCCTTCCCACCTCCCTCCCATTCCCCTCCCCCCCCAGTTTTTGTCCATGTGTCCTTTATATTTGTTCCTGCAAACCCTTCCCATTCTCCCCTGAAATTCCCTCCCTTCTCCCCTCTGGTCACTGTCAGCCTGTCCTCTATTTCAGTGTCTTTGACTGTATTTTGCTTGTTTTTTTGTTTTGTTGTTTAGGTTCCTGTTAAAGGTGAGACCATATGGTATTTGTCTTTCACTGCCTGGCTTGTTTCGCTTAGCATAATGTTTTCCAGCTCCATCCACGCTGTTGCAAAGGGTAGGAGCTCCTTCTTTCTTTCTGCTGCATAGAATTCCATTGTTTAACGGTTCTCATATTTATCATCTTCAGGGCTGACGTTCTGCCAGATTGGGCTGTAGACACTTAGGCTACCCTTCCTCATGGGGCAGGGACTGCTGTGACATGCATCCTGGTGCTCAGAGCTTTTCCATTATGCTGGATCATTTTCTTAACTTCTGAGGAATGCAGAGCCTGGGTGTGCAGATGTCTTCCAGGCTTCTGCCGAGCACTGCTCTTGGACTGCACAACGCCTACCCCCGGCGACAGGGCTACGGACAACTTAGGGTGAAACTGTTCCTCTGCATCCCAGCTCAGACAGTTCCATTCTTCCTGGAAGGCTGAGCACAGTCAGATTACTTTTATTCTGTCACAGTTTCCTGAGACAGGGCATGGTGGGAAAGCATGGGCTTTGGAGACAGGTGGCCCTGGGCCCACGTAGTAGGTGTTCAATCAATATTTGTTGATTGCAAAATAGTTATGAAATAGCTACTATGTGCCAGGAACCTAAAATGTTATTCAACTATTATAACCACCCTGTAGTTGGAAGAATTATTCTTCTTACTGTATAGAGGAGGAAGTTGGGCTTAGTCCCTGGTTAGGTGAATGTCTCTGGGCAAATTATTTGATGTCGCTGAGTCTCAGATGGCTCGTGTTTCGAATGGAGGCGATAACGCGCATATTGCCGGGCTAATGGGCGGGTTACATATGTGATGCAAGTGGCTCATGCTTCCTGAGCGGCGGCCCTTCCGTGTGATCATCTTGGATCGATGTCGCCTCACAGTCATTCCACGTATCCTTTGGTGTGAGGTATGGCTTTTTATTTATTTGAGATGAGTTTCTTATTCTGTGTTAACATTTCCTTCTCTTTAGGTTATTATAATATCAACGAATCCCTTGTGAAACCATCGCCAAAGGTGTTAATGTCCTGTTTTAAATCAAAAACTGGCCGTGGATTCAAAGCGACGTCAACAGGCCCAGGACCCGCTTATTACAACCCGAATGAGCACATCAAAATTCCAACAAAGACTGTCATCCCGTGAGTCTCAATTTTTCTGATTTCTTTGGAAAGGTGGTTCTGGGAGGGACCCCAACATGGGTGGAAAAGGAAGGGGAGTCATAGTTTGTCAGGGCACTGTGCCAGGTTGCTCTCCAGGATACCTGTTGACACATAGTAGGTGCTCAGTAAGTATGTATTGAAAGCATGATTTTATTGAGCAACTACTATGTACCAGGAACTTAATGTCTCGTGGTATTGAAAGCATGATTTTATTGAGCAACTACTATGTACCAGGAACTTAATGTCTCGTTCAATTATCATAATAACCCTGTTGTAAGAGTTATTCTTCCTGATGAAGGAAGTCAGGCTTCGGTGGGACCGACAGACTCGCCTCAGTCTACCCAGCTAGCCGGAGGTGCCACCGGGTGTCGCGCTGGGGCTGCCTGGCTCTTTCCACATCCCCCGTGAGGCCGCATGTTCCTGGTGCCGACTTTATTCTGTTTCACAATGTGAAACCTCCCCTGGGGGGCACGACATACAGAAGCAGTGGTGCTCTCCCAGTTTTGTGCTGATGGGTTAAAAGCCTAGACTCTGAGGTGGGTCAGACCTGGACGGAAACTGCATCCCTGCTATTTTCATGCTGTGTGACAGGGGGCACCGTATGAGCCCCTTGGAGCCTCCATGCCCTTGTCTGCACAGTGGGGATGATTCATGCCCCATAGTGTTGTTTGCAGATTCAAAAAATACATGTTTGGCATATGCCCTGACTGGTGTGGCTCAGTGGGTTGGGTATCACCTGATAAACCGAAAGATTGCCTGTTCGATTCCTGGCCAGGGCACATGTCTGGATTGCGGGCCAGGTCCCTGGTTGGGGGCGTGCGAGAAGCAATTGATCTGTGTTTCTCTCCTTCTCTCTCCCTCCTTTTCCTTATTTCTAAAAATAAATAAATAAAATGCTTTAAAATATATATACACACACACGCACACATATATTTGGCATATGTATAGTAGGTGCACATGGTGACTTAGTATTAACACACATTTAAAAAGTGAAGACAGGGGTTTGTGTTACCATTTTTAATATCCTGCATGTTTAATGTTACGTTCACCTAAGAGGCTAAAAAACTCACAAGGCTTGTTTATTCCTCGAATGGTTCTAGGACTTCTAAAACTAACGGCGGTTAAGGACAGGCCCCCTGTCAGCATCCGAGACCTCGCCCCTGGGCAGGCTTCCCCACGCGGGACTGGCCGCGGGGAGGGCTGACTAGGAGGGCTGGGACTTAGTGTAGAGGCACCTGGGCACCTCAGAGCAGGTGAGTGGGCTCGTGGCCACGGTGGGTCAGAAATCTGGGCGTCTCGGGAGGCCGGCAACACTGGGCACACTCTGACCATCAGTCCAGGGCGAGGAGGTGGGAGTCGGGGAGAGGAGCAAGACCGGAACCCGACGAAGGCAACTGAGGATCCTGAGGGAGGGAGCCAGGCCTCAGACGGAGCCCACAGGGTAAGCCGCTTCTGCCCTTCGGTCCTGGGGCTCTGCACGTGGACCCTGCACATGCCCCCGGACTAGGACTAGGGCAGGAAAGTCTGCGGGAGCAGGCGGCCTCCACACATCAGGGACTTCCTGCCTCCAGGTGGCCCGAGGGCACCACAGCGCACCGCCTGTCCCTTACCCCGCCAGACAGCAGAGTGGATGAGAGGACAGCTCGGCGGACCCGAGTGGGAGCCCTGACTCTGCCCCTTGCAGACACGTCTGTCTCTGAGCCTCTGTTCTGAGTTGTTAGGTGGAGATAAGACCTCTATCTCAGGGGGTGCTGCAAGGATTAGACAAGAAACTGCTGGAACAGAGCCATTCCTAGTACAGCTGCTACTACTCTGTGACCTACAGCCGTATCAGGACAGAGGGAGCAGCTGGTCACCGGCCTGGCCACTCAAGCCCCTAGCCCGAGCCTGGCAGCTGCATCAAGGGAATCGTGCACCATGGCGAATCCTCAGTGTTTAATGGCTTTCCCCAGAGAGGTGCTACTCGGCTTTGCTTAAGTTAGGATGAGTGGTTTCAAATATTCTCATTTAATGGCATTTGCATCTGTCAATCAACAGGCTCTGGATGTTTCAGGTTCTGTGCTGGAGGCTGTGGAGTTGCTCAGGTGAACAGAACACCATACACACCTTCAGCCAGGCCCACCTGGGAGCAGCTCAGGGCAAGGCTGAGGAGCGTGCACAGAATGCCGGGCCGTGTGGCCCCACACCTCCCCAAGGGCAGTCTTTCCGGCTGGGCAGTGCTCTGGGGCTGGGTGCCTGTGGGTGTCGGGCTCCCTGGCTCTCTGGGACACTTTGTGAATTGTGCATCCTTGGGTAAGGAGCCTTGGAAACACTGCCAACAAACCCTCTGCCCCTGGGGCCACCGCAGTGAGCATGGGCTTAGGAAAGGCCCAGAGAAGGCTTGCAGGAAAGGAACCTGGGAAGCCCGGGGTCTCTTACATTCGGGTTTACTTTGTTGAGGGGATGGGGTCCCGGCGCCTGGGCAGAACGTCTGTGTCGGCCGACTCTGTGGTCCGGGGCTGCTCCTGCCCCTCGCTGCGCCTTCCTCCCTGTGCCTGTGAACAGAGGGGAGCTTTTCCCGTTTTTGACGCTTCGTGACCCCAGGTGTGCTCAGCATGCCACTCAGGGGAGCATGGAGGGGACGGCGACCGTGGAGCCAGCCTGGACCCACGGAGGAGGTCCAAAAAATACAGTTTTAAAATTGGCAAGGAAAGGATGAAGGTGAGAAATCTGTGATTTCATTTGGAAAACAAGAGCACAGAGCTGAGGCATGCTTTGGGTTGTTCTAAAAAGGCATCCGTCCGTCTGTGTTGAATGGCACATGATGTAATGTGAAGAAAAGATGCAGCTGACTGTTGGAGTATGGCAGGAATGTCCAGACTCAGCTCCTTAAATTCGAGTCCCGTGGGCTCTCCCTTGTCCCTGCAGGGAGGAGGGACAGGAGTCCCCGGGCGCTGATGGTCCGGGATTGTCAGGCCCCTAGAAGGTCTGCGCAGCTTCCTGTCGCCGGCACCAGACACACAGGTGACAGTGTGTCTTGGGCTGGAAGTGCTTGGCTCCACATTTCGGGGTAGGGCTCCAGCTTGCAAAGTGATGTTTGGCTCTGCTTTCTTCAGGAGGAATGGGGGAGATGTTCATTCTCCCTGGAGTGGTCAGCCCGTGCTCCCCACCAGCAGAAGTGGGGCCCAGCGAGGCGAGACGTTGGTGATTGACAGGAGTGCTCATGAGGCCGAGCGGGGGCCATCCCCCCACCCCCACCCCATTCCCCGCCAACCTCCCGCCTTCCCACTCACCAGCTTTGAGAACTGGGGGTGAGGGTAGGGTTGGGGGGTGGTCACTTAGCTCCCTGGGAAATTTAAATTCATTCTCCGTGACTTAGAGCAGGTACTTCATAAGGTGCTTGCAAGAATGAAATAAGGTGACCCACACAGTGCACCAGGAATGGCGCACAGCGGACTTCAGATACGTACTGAAGAGGGCCCTCTGCTCTGGCCTGGTGTTTCTGGAGGGGGGTGGGGGGGGGCCTGGAGGGCAGGTCTGTGCCAGGGGCTGGCAGGCTGGTAGCGCGGCCATTTCTGGGGTCCTTGGCTGGAGAACGCGTCACGGGGTGTCCCTTTGCCATGGCTCACCTTGGTGACTCAAAACCTGAGCGGATAAATCCACTTCCAGGGGTCTTGAGAAGAGCAGTGTCAGCCAAGGTGTCACGTCTTCAGGGCCTGGGAGTGTGTCTCAGTGGTGACTCAATCAGTCAGGGCGCGTCAGGGTAAGGGCTGTTAGAGATCAAAACAGTCCCGCCCAGCTGCTGCCTCCAGCTCCGCTCCCCGGGAGGAGGTGCAACACCCACTGACACTCTCCTAACCCCTGATCCACTTCCCGGAGGGTTAAGCCCCTGGTTCTGCGCCGACACGCTGTGCAGTCACAGCTGGGGCCCGAGAACCAAGCCTGCTGGCCCCACTTCAATTTGGGTAATTACGAGAGACCCACCTAAAGCTCCCCTGGGATTTTCAATTAGATATGGGGAGCTTCTTCCCAAGCGCTGTAATCTGTCACCTGCTGCCGCGTTAAACAGATGCTGCGTTCCACCCCAGAGGCATCAGCTGCCCTTTAATGATGAGAAAAAAATTGCCCCTTTGTCCCTCCAGACCCTGGGAATCCCCGAGGCAGAGTGAATCTGTGCCTGGGAGTGTCCCGAGGGTCCCCGAAGCCTTCCCCCAGCGACCTGCCGACCTGCTGAGTCCCAGACATCCTTTATTCTCGGGAGATTTGCAAACAGCTCGCGCTGGAAGCTGCAAACACACTTAAGCCGGCTGCGGCCACCGCAGAGCCTTAGACAGGCGCTTTCTCTCCACGGGGCAGGACCAGGTGGGCTTTCATAACCCCTGACGATGAGGCGCACAAAAGCCCCAGCCACGGAGCACTGAGGGCGGCCTGAGGTCTGTTCCGGCCTGACCTTCGGGTTTGCCCAGTCCCGCCGCCGTGGAGGGGGCAGCCCTGGGTGATGATAAAACTGGGGGCCGGGGGGGATCTTTGTCTGGGCTCCCCTCTTTGCTTCAGCCGCTCTGCTCTTCTCTGCCCTCCAGCACATGTCCCGGAATTAGGGACAGGGCCTCAGACATGAGTCAGACAGACACAGCTGGGCAAGTGAGGAGCATTAAAAATGCAGCATGTTTTGTGCCAAGAAAAGAATGGCTAGAATGTGTGGAGGGGCCGGTACCCTGATATTACCTAGGGCCGCACTTCCAGCTCCTCTGCGGGTGGCACTGTACGTGGACCTGCCCAGGTGCTGCAGCCTGGAGCAGAGTCCAGGCCTGTCAGACCCCAAAACCTGCTCACCCAGGGAGCCCGGAGGGGGGGGGGGTGGGGGAGGGGGAGAGGGGCTGCCTGCAGGCGGCCAGCAGGGAAGACTGAAGCGGAGTCTGCAGGGGAAGGAGGTGCTCCTGGCAGAAGGGGCAGTCGGGTGAGGGCGAGGAGCCGCTGCGGTGTGCTCTGGGGCGTTTCTGCAGGGTGGCACGGGAGCAGGTGCAGAGCAGGTTGCGCTGGATCTAGGGCCACGAACAGAAGCTTTTCCTCTAGTTTCTCATCAAGGTCTGTGAGGGTGGGTAGTCAGAAACACGTGAACAGCCCAGACATCATGGGGGGTTGAGGTTTGAAGGCAGCCTGGTGGTGCATCTTTGGCCTCCTGGTGTCCCAGTTCCTGTCACATGGGGCACCGCTCTGGCCCCTGCTCCTTCCTCTGCTGGAAATGCCACCTCCCCCACATATTTCACCTGAAGACTTCCAGCTTCCCTTTCAGGGCCAATGCTCGCTCTGCTAGGGCAGATTTCCGGATTCACTCAGTTGCAATGAGTCTCTCTCTCTCTCTCTCTCTCTCTCTCTCTCTCTCTCTCTCTCTCTGTCCTCCCAAGGTGGTTTGTATCTCTAGTCTTACATTTCATATTAAAAAAAAATGCGGGTACCAAGCACTAGCTAGTTTTAATGACGACCCTGGGCGGCAGGTATTACGACCCACCATTTTACAGAAGAAGAAACAGGCAGGGAGGGGCAAGGAGACTTTTGCAAGGACACACAGCTAGTGACTGGGGGAGTTCGTCTGAGTGCACAGCAGAGTGTGGCCGCCGAAGCTGTCACCAGCACGGCTGTCCCTGGCAGCGGGTGGCCACACCCGCAGGAGCTCTCCGGGTCTGTGTCTTCACACAGAAGAGCCTGGACCCCCCAGAGTGCCGGGGGCAGAGCTGCACTCGTGGCCGGCGCTCTCTGCAGACCGGGAGAGCAGAGCTGGCAGTGCTGAGCCCCGCCTGGAGGCGCGAAGGGGGCGGAGGGCATGGGATGCTCCCGGCCAGTCTCCCCAGAACGCCGACAGGCCCCTGACCCAGGCTGCTCAGCCTCCTGCAGACCATCCCAGGCCGGAAGAGCAGACCCCTCGTGGTCTTCTTAGAGACCTGGGCTTGGGGGTGACCTCCTTCGACGCTTGGCCCATTTCAGACCTGACGTCCTGGAGTCAAGCCTGTTTCTCAAGGGTGCCAGTCACACACGCATCTGATTTCTGAGGGTGCTTTGAAGGGGTGACCCAAGCCAGAACAAGGAGCAGCCGGCTTTGATTTTTAAGGGGAGAGGTGGTTGATCACACACGGTAACCAGTTCTTCCCTGCCAGCTGGAGGGGAAAAAAGGGAGGCCACCTGTTTCCCCCTTTCCTACGGCACCTTTGTTTTAAGTATAAGCGTCAACGCCAGCCTCGGGAAGGTTTGCTGGGCTTTCAAAGGCTCCCGGGAGTGGGAGTGGCCTCTCTCTGGGTGACTCTGGGAGGGAGCCCTCTGGTCTCCATTTCCTGAGGCTCGGTGGCTCCTCTGAGGCCAGGCAGCGGGCAGAGGTGCTGCAGGGATCATAACAATGACAATGACTACTTTTATTGAGCACTTACTGTGTGCTGGCACTCTGTTGGGCACCCTCATGCCTTTTCCCGTTCACCAGCTCCATTAGGAAGAGTGGGTGGTGCTGTGCCCGGCGGCAGGCAGGCAGGTCAGTGGACTGGCCAAGGTCACGCAGCCAGTGAGAGGCACGACGGGAATTCAGACTCAGGTCTGCGTGGCTCTAAAACTCAAAGGCTCCCCGCCAACCCCTGCCATGTGACTTCCCCAAACTGTGGGGCAGCTGACACTGGGGTTCTGGTGCCGGCATGACCTCTAATCTGCTCTGCAATTCAGGTGACTTGCTTTCTCTGGGCACCAATTTCTTCAGCAAAATGAGGATGTTGGAACAGACATTTCCAGGCCCCCTTTTGCTCCCCAAGTTTAAGAACACCTGTGTTCCAGAAGGAGCTGGCCAGGGGACAGCGGGGCTTCAGTGGCCGGGAGTCCCCGCTCCCTCCTCTGTTCCGATGGGTTGGCTTTGAGCTGGGGAGTCTCCTGTGGCTGTTCAGTGCTCTGGGAACCTTCCGTTCCCTTGTGCCGAGAGGCCTTAGGAGAAGCTTCAGGTGTGAGGCAGAGGTGGGCAGCCCTTTTATGGCATGGCCAGGGGAGCCATATGACTCCCATAACAATCCCAGAATTCCCTGGGCAACCCAGTGGACCCCCTTTGAGTCAAGATTTGATGGAATGTCACAGCTGGAAGGGACATCAGAGGTCATCGGGCCCAACCCCCTCATTTTACAGATGGGGAGACTGAGGCACAGAGGGAATTAGTGCCAGAGCCAGGGTTTAAGTCCAGGTGCCATTTCTCGTTCACTTATTCTCTCACTACCAGACATGAAAGACTCCCTCTTCTGGGAGAGGGGGAGGCAGACCTGGAAACAAACAGTTGCAATGTAAACGGTGAGTGTTAGGCAGACGTCCCTTAATTTCCCAGCATTCTCCTGCTCCCACATCCTGCCTTGACAGGAAGGTATTTGGTAGGATTCTGGAATGCCAGTGTTGGAATGGGCTCTAGACATCTGCTGGGTTTGGGATAGCAAATCCCGGGAATGTGGGAGGCCTGTTTTATTTCCCTGGCCATGGCAGACATCACAAGTAGATTGCTGATGCTCTTCCCATCAAGCCCCCATGAAGCCTCAGTCTTCACACAGAGCTCCAGCCAGGCACTACCAACGGAACAAAGTTGACAACTAGCTAAATGCTGCCTGCTATTCCTGAGTAGCTCAGTAGCTTTGTTATGGCAACAGTGTGTCCTCAGCTCCTGCTTGGTGCTGGGCTGTGTTCGAGTCTTAGGTGTACCATCTCAGGGAACCCTGACGATGGGCCCACCAGGCAGGTAGCAGCACGATCGCCATGGTGCAGACAAGGAACCTGAGGTCCCGGGTACCCAGCGCACTCGCAGTGGAGTCCCAGGAAGAAGCAGGTCCCGGGTGCCACATCGCCCCCTCCCCCCACCCCCCGCCATGTCTGGCCCTCTTGCAAATGGCTCGGTCTTGGGGCAGGTCTTGGCTGTGTCTAAACACCCCCATTTCCCCCAAAGACGGCCTCAGTGCAGCTTCACGTTTTGTCTTTTCCAAAGGAGAAACTCCAGCCTGAAGTTCTCCGCCCCGCCTCTGCCCCTGCCCCCGAGGCCGCCTCTCCCAGGCCCTGGTCAGTATGAGATTGTGGACTACAGCGGCCCCCGCAAGCTGTTCGTCTCCAGCGCCTCGTTCGTGTCCAACACCAGCCGGTGGACGGCGGCGCCGACCCAGCCCAGCCTGCCCGGCCCAGGTCAGGGGAGTGTTTCAGATGATCGTAAAAACCGACGCTGGAGGAGCTGTTTGTCATTCCTGGGCCATCAGATGCCACTGATTTGTAGGCTGTTTGCCAAACGGGTTATAGGGGTGAGAGCAGATGGAGAAGACTTTTCCGCTTACACTTTCAGAGCATGAAAGGTTGTTTTTTTTTTTTTTTTTTAAGGTGAAAGGGCTCTCAGGGCTGATCCCGGCCAGGGATGCACAACCAAGGACCGTGGGCACCCGAGAGGCTCCGAGACAGGCGCTGAGGGGTCTGGGACCCTGACGTTGTCTGCGGACACTGTTTCTGGGGAGGGGGCGTGGCTTTGGCCAGGTTGTCGGAAAAGTCCATGTTGTTAGAAACGCTGAGATTACCAGCCTCGTCTGGCTGAGTCCCTCTCCACACGGGGAGGGCCTGGAACGCTGGTCTCAGGGAGCGAGGGGCAGGGCCGGGCACCTCCTCCCAACCCCCGCCCCAGTGCCTGGCTTGTCCTGAAATGAACAGAGGACTATTCACTGGGGCAGCTCTTCTAAGACACCCAGTCTATCTCCTTCCCACAGGCGAGCGTAAGCGGTGAGCCCTGTTCCCTCTGGGACCTACCTGAGAGCCAATAGCTTGAGGGACTCACTCTGGTGGGTGGTCTCTGTACCCACCGAGCTATCTGTGGCTGTCTGTAGGTCCCCTTAGGTCTTCATCACCCCTGGCATTGACCAGACCTGGTGGCACTGGGACTGACGGGCATGCCGGTGGGCAGGTGGCGTGGGCAGAGGAAGGCCGAGCTGAGGCGGCTGCCGGGGCTGCCACATTCGGTCTTTCAGTGAGCGTGGGTGCTGCTCCCGCCCTGGGGAGGCAAAGGGGGCTTAAGCCCTGTGCTTTCCCCCAGAGGTGTCCGTCTGGCGGGGGAGACACCTTCCCCTCCAAGCATACCAGTGAGGGGGGTGTAAGCTAGACAGGACAGGGAGAAAGTCATTCTCATGGCTCTGGCCTTGGAAATGTAATCAAACCAACAAGCCTGCAGAGTTTTGACCTTAACTAAGGTCATCTGGTCAGTCCAGGCAAAACTCAGTTTGGTTTGGCAAATGCACTAATGTCCCAGACAAGTGGCGAGCTCCGGTGGGTGGTCTCGGAGGACTGGGGACCTGCAGGCAGCCTCGTCTGACCCTGTTTGGCCCTGTCCTGGAGGAGCTTTCTCTCGGTAACTTCTCTGTGCCGTACCTGGTGCGAGACACCCGGCACAGCGGGCAGGCCGATTGCCCACCCCAAGGCGGGCTTCCCGGAGGGGCTTCCTGGGCGTGAGCACGTGCGACCATCTGCCCTCTTGGCTCCCGGGGGCGGGGGGGTGCAGACCTGCCTGGACCGCCACGTGCCCCCAGCAGCAGCTCCGCAGCTCACCAATCAGGCCCTGCACGGCCCCTCAGCCGCCAAATCGGCATCGACGGAGAGTTGCCCTTCTCCCCGGTGGCGGTTCCGCCGCCCCGTGTGGTCCTGGCTGCTGGGGGCCAGGAGAGCCCGCGGTGTCACGGCTCTTGCTTGTCTGGAAATTTCTGAACTAATTCCAAACAAACCCCACCAAGCTGACACCTTGCTCCTTTAAGAGTATAGCTTCGCCCAACATATTTTTTTCAAATTTCATAGAAAGATCTTTTGTCAATTTTCTTCTGTTAAAGAAGTTAGAGTGAGTTAAGGAAGGTGGGAAGCCATGTTCGAGTTAGGCGCCAGACGACCTTGGGTGGGAACTTCCTCTGTCTGCCTCCCTGCACGTGTGGGGCAGGGGCGGGGACCGAGGTCCCGCTGGCCTGGCCAGCTCTGGCGTAGAAAGAAAGAGACTCCAGCAACTGACCTTTTCTCTTTCTTCTTCTTTTTTTTAAAAAAAAAATACATTTTATTGATAATGCTGTTACAATTGCCCCCATGTTTTCTCCCCTTTATCCCCCTCTGCCTGGCACCCCCTTCTCACCAGCATTCCTGCACCCCCTTAGTTCATGTCCGTGGGTCGTACATACGAGCTCTTCGGCTTCTCTGTTTCCTGCACTATTCTTTGGCCTTTTCTCTCTCAATGCTGCCCTGCTCTGTCCCCGCAGCCACGTACCAGCCGGAGTTCCCTGGCAAGCAGTCCTTTCTCTACAACGAGGACAACAAGTGGATCCCGGTGCTGTAGAGGCCTCGGAGGGCCGTGGGGAGAGCCCCAGCCACCAGCCACCCCGCCCAGGTTCCCCGGACATTCATTCAGAGAATGTGCCTTTTACCTGCGACAGCTGATGAGTTCCACCACCCCCATGTCTGGTGCTACAGCTGCGCTGCTGCATTTGTCCTGGCCCCCAGCTGCCTCCTGGAGACTGGGCCCCCACCCTCGCCAACCCCTTGGTCTCCTCAACATAAACGAGGAGCGGACGGAGCCACGGGTCCAGCAAACTGTTGCCAGATGTGCAGGTTTTTCAACAGCATCTGGGAAGCTGTAAAGATGTGCAGCCTCTTCATTTGAGATGTTCACAACCACATTCCAATTTAAATTTTTTTTGTTCAGGCCAAAGGAAATGCCTCTGCAAGCCATCAGTTGTCTCCTTGGGTGCTAGACGGTCTGGAAGGCCCTTTCAAAGCTGGCACTTAGAGCTGTGCCTTTCCTTGCTCCCAGACTCTTAACAGTGGGGCCAGACCCCAGGGTCTCGGCGCGTAGGTCCCTCTGCCCCTGGAGGACCTTAGCAGGCCGTGGGGCTGGAAGCAGCCAGCCCGTAGGTCACTGTGGGCAGAGGCTGGGGGCGACGCATGGGAAGACACGACAGGCTCTCCTCCTCCCCTTGAGCGGCGGGGCTGAGCCCTGGCAGGTGAGGACCGTCCCCCCAGAAGGAGCCCCCTCCAAGCGGGGTCAGGTCAGGGAAGAAGGGAGCCTGGGAGGAGAGCAGCAGGGCTGCTCTCGGCCACGCAGGGTCCGTGTTCTGGAGAAGACGTGGCTGCAGCTGAGGCCACGAGCTCCGAGGGGCTGAGTTGCCTCCATCCCCTCTTAAGATGACGTAGGCCGCTCGCAGCTCCGTGCAGCCCCCGCCCCCGCCCCGGCCCTCAGAGTTCCGGTTGAATTGATCCGAGGGAGGGGCTGTGCATCGGCATCTTTATTCAAGTTCTCAGCATGGTTGTAATGTGTCTGGTTAGGGTCAGGATACACCGGTAGTTTAATAAAGTGTTTGCAAATGTGCACGTGCATGCAGATCACTCGGAGAGCTTGTTGAAAGGCAGATTCCGTAGGTCTGGGGTAGGGCCAAAGAGTCGGCATTTTTGTCCCTTTAAAAACATTGAAATGTAGCTGACATAGAACATTATATTAGTTTGAGGTGGAAACATTTCTTACACGCACCCGGGTGGTCCTGATGCTGCCGGCCCTTGGGCCACGCTTAGAGGAGCAAGGGTCTGAAAAATACGCCCCATTGTTCTGTTCTTCCTCCGGCTTTCCGTTTGTCCTTCTCCCCGCTCCCTCCCTTCCTCCTTTCCTCCTTCCTTCCTCCCATCTTCCCTTCCTTCCTGTTTCCTCATCCACTCACACATCCCTGCCTGCAGGTGGGCTCCCTCAGCCCTGGCTTCCTCCCCTCACCCACAGACTGTGACTGCTAGGCCGACAGGGGCTGCTCTCCCCACCAGCCAACAGCCACCTTTCTTCAGTGGCCCCCTGTGTGGAAGGGACTTACCTTCACCCCTGTCACCCTTGTCACTCTTTGGAGGGAAAGACAGGCCCGGGTGGCTGCTGTCGGGTTTGGGAGCGGCTCTCCCGGACCCTCTGTGAGGGCAGCACTGCATTCCCTCCAGGCCAGCGGTGCTCTCTCCTTGAGGTCCCGGGGGTCTTTCTGGGCCCCGACCGCCCTAGTCTCCTCATGTGGAGGGGAAGGGACGGCCCGATGGCTCTGCTGGAGGCAGGCAGCTGTACAGTGGCCGGGAGCTGCCCGCTCCTTCCCTGAGCTCTGCAGCAGGCTTTGCACTGAGACTGCCGGCTCCCTGTGTGTATTCACCCAGCCAGACGCCAGCAGGTTGCAAAGGCTTCCCGGCCTGTGCAATTCTGGCGCCTTCAGAGCAGTCGTTCTCGAACTTGATTGCGCAATGTAATCACCAAGGGGGCTTTCAAAGGCCCTGAGGCCTGGGCCCCACCCCCCGAAATTCTGAGTTCATTGTTCCAGGGTGGGATCTATGCTGAGACAAAAGCTGCCTGGTTGATTCTGATGTGCAGCCAAGGGTGACAAGTTCCACCTTCCAGCTTCCCACCTGGCTCCGGAAGGGGAGGGGGCAGGAAGCTCAGGAAGGAAGGAAATGAACAGACTCAGGGGGACCTCACCATGCCCGGCCATGTGCTGGTGCTCTGCACCCACTCTGCCGTCTCACTCTCACACATCACGCTGCTCTGGCCACTTGGGTGGTGTCAGAGCAGTGGTGGGGCCTGGAGTGGGCAGGGTGCCCGCTCCGGGTGCTCCAGGGGTCCCCGAGCCATGCAGGGCAAGCCCTGTCAGAGCCCGAGGCCATGGGAGCCAGCAGTACTGATCCTGACTTCAGATTTTGATATGTTGTTCATCGTCAATTTTTCAGTCATTGAACACACAGTTGCACTGAATATCTTGATCACCGAGTCCTGCGCCTTCTCTTCCTTTTGTACCCGGGCCGGTGCCGCACTTGCCCGGCTGCAGTCCCGGCCCCAGCTCCAGGCAGGGCCTCGGGAGCGAGTGCTGTACACTCTGCTGTCAGGGCTGGAGGCCCCTAGAGACCGCCAGGGTTTTCAGACTGTAAAGAAAATGTTTTGTTCAGACAAAAGTTTGCAAAACTCTCGTCTATACAGGGAGAAAAGCGAAGCTGCTCTGATCAAGTTCTGGCAGATACTTGAGAGCTGCCTGCTGTCCTTCCACCTGCATCGTGGTGGCTTCTGAGACCCACCCGTGAACCTGGGGCTCAAAGATGGTAGTTACAAATGACCCATGCAGACCACACCCCTCCTTGCGTAGCTGGAGAAACCGAGGGCTGGAGGTGGCGGTGTGCTGGTGAGCCAGGAGAGGAAGGGAGGGAGGGAGGAAGGACGGAGTGGTTTGTGATCTATTCCCTAGGGAAACAAGGGCCTTGGTTTGCAGCATCCGTCAGCTCCCGTGGTGGGCACACTCCCACCGACATGCGTCTCACTGAGAAGGGACCAGCACAGCGGCTTCCGGGAGCTGGCAGGAGCAGGCTCTCGGGGAAGTGGCCCAGCCTGGAGCGCAGGCACAGAGTGGGCACCAGAACTCAGGTCGCACAGCTCCCAGCCCTGGGTTCTGCTTGCTGGCCCCAAGCAGCGAGATCATCCTGGACCCTTCTCCCAGGACATCTTCATGTCCAGTCAGTGACCCTAAGGTCATCACCTCCAGCCTGTGGGACCACACGACACAGAGATCTGGGCATCAGGAGTCCGCTGCCCTCCAGGTGGGGACCTCAGCTTCTCTAGTGCCCTGAGCTTTCACCACCCTTCAAGTCCGGGGCAAACCGCTCACAGGACAGAGAAGGGGTGGGGCCTTGTCTACCTCCACCCTCTCCTCCTGAAAGACTTGCACAAGAGGCACAAGTGTAGCATGTGAAGTAATACATAGGAAGAATTTTATTACTAAACACTATATGAGTATACAAAATGCATAATTGAATAACAACTACAAAAATAGTCCAAGAAATGTGCAATACACATTTTTTGAAATGATAAAAATGTATCCATGAAAAATATAAAATGTTGCACATATACACAATATATACTTATATATATATAACACAAACGAAACCCGGGAGGGAGAAATGTGCACAACGGTGAGCAGACACGGCAGGCAGCAGCAGCAGCCACTCGGTTCTGGCGGACGGGCTCCGTCCGTACATCTGGTATGAAGTCCACGAGCAAGAGGCGTGTCCACCACAGTGTCTTCTGAGAGTCATTCACACTGAAAATCAAGACTGTTCAAGTTTAACCGACCCAAGGGTGAGAACTCCTCGGTCTGAAGTCGATGGAAGAGCCAAGAACGTCAGCTGAGCCCCCGGGGGTGGGGGGGGGGAGCGGGTCCACCTCCCCCGCCCAACGGGCGGCAGCGTGCGGCGCGGCTGCCGACAAGGAAGGTCCGTTGGGTGCGAGAGCCAAGGTGACGCCGTCTCTGGCCGAGCAGTCCCTGGCGGGAGTTCCGAGAGCAGATCCAGGCACGAGACAGGGGTCCTATCAGGACCCCTCCGGGCCCCTTCCTGGCCCTGACCTCTGTGACCCCAGGGCCTCTTCCCTCGGGGAGGGCGTTCAAGTAGCAGCGCTGAGGCGTGAGGAGAGGTTGTGGGTGCCTGGAGCCGACCCGGGTCCTCACAGCTCCTTGAGGGTGATCTGGATCTTGCCGTCGAGCTCCCCCATGTCCAGCAGGAAGGCGACGTGGTTGCTGTAGTGCTGAATGATGTTGTTGTCCATGTTGACCAAGATTCTGGAAGACAGGGGACAGGCTAAACTGTGGGCGGCCCCTTGCTTTCAGGGCCTCTGAGCGTCAGGGATGACAGTCATGGTCACTACGTATCAGGGGCCCCAAATATGCCAAGCACCTCACAGACTCTCCCTCTCACCCTCACAGCAACCCGCAAGGTGGGTGTTCACTGTCCCACTTTGCGGGGGCGGCATGATGCCCATGTGGCCGAGCCGCCACTCAAACCAGGCCCGCCTGCTACCGCGCCCACCTACTGCGCCGGTGCCTCTCTTAAAACATACACATATGGACACGTTTGAGCAACTGTTGACCTGGGGAAGACTTGCTGCTCCTTGGTTACCAGGCCAGACGGAGGACTCGGGCACAGAGCGTGAGTTCACGCACAGGAAGTGTGGTGGGCGGGCCGGCGTGGCTCTGTCCACCAGAAGATGAGGTGTGTCCCTCGGGGGCGCCTGCCCGAACCAAAGGCAGGTGCCCCAGGAGCCCACTCTCGGCTCCACCCCCATGAAGCTGAGCCTCAGGGGTGGCACAACAGACTCGAAGGGCTTGGCCGTCTCCCTCCCCACACCCTTTAGGCAAGCACCTGGGCCCACCTGCGAGGGACAGAGCCTCTGTGGCGGTGGTGGCCCTCTGCAGGGGGGTAAAGCCAGAGCACACGCCGAAGGGCACCCTGATGCAGGCCCCACAGAGAGGTGACCCGACCAATCAGACCAGCTCTCCCTTTGCAATGAAACTGAGCATCTCGTCCACCCATTCATGGGCCCGCCCCACCAGTGTCTGCTGAGGCTTCTCCACAGGCAGGGCCTTGACACCAATGGAAACCAGGGCCGCGAAGAGATCCCAGATCCCGTCTCCCAAGCACTCAGACTCTAGCCGGCCCGGGAGGATGACGCCCTGTGCCCCTGTCCCTCTAGTTCGTCGGTGGGGAGGCTGCGGCTCACGGAAGCCACGTCATTCCCCTCAGGTCACACAGGCAATAGGTGACTGAGCTGGGACTTGAGTCCAGACTTTCGTCTGCTTCCACTGTATCATGATTTTTAGAAAGAAAATGCAAAAACCCCACAAATGAAAGAAGTGGCATATATGAGGAAGACAGAGTCCAGGGCGGGGGGCTGGATTACTGTGAGAGGGCAGGAGGGTGGGAAGCCCAGAGCACCACTCCTGGCAGGGAGCTGTCTGCTTTCCTGAGTGAGGACCCCGCGGTGGGGGGGTGGCTGCCCTGTCCCCACCATCCCAGGTTAGTAGGGGCAACGCAGACAGCAGTGAGCACATCTACTGCCCCAGTTCGGAGGTCTCAGCAGCAGCATCAGGCAGCTGCTGCTTTTTGGAAGGAGGTCTGGGCCCCGGCCCTGGGGCCTGGGTGCTGGCGCGGGCGTCTCATCACGGGCTCCTGCTTCCTCAGGTCTCATCTGCAGTTCCTTCATTTCACAGAGGGATCTCTGGGGACCGCAGGAGGCCAGGCCCGGGGTGGAGGGGTGGGCGGGGTTTTGTTTGGGTCACAGGGTGCCTGTACTGGAGAATCTAGGGGCCCGGCGCTGTGTGAGTGCCTGCGTGCACAGACTGAAGCCTGCCTGCCTCCAGCCCGCTCCCAGGCCAGGCCCCCACAGGCCCAGGCGCACGCCTGTGCACGAGGGCTCCCAGACAGGCCCTCGGACCCCTGCCCCTCAGAGGGCAATGACGA